TAAACAACAAGGGGAGAAGTAAAGGGACTGGTGGTATAATATTATATGTAGTTACGCCTGCAAATAAACAACAAGGGGAGAAGTAAAGGGACTGGTGGCATAATATTATATGTAGTTACGCCTGCTAATAAACAAGAAGGGGAGAAGTAAAGGAACTGGTGGTATAATATTATATGTAGTTACGCCTGCTAATAAACAAGAAGGGGAGAAGTAAAGGGACTGGTGGCATAATATTATATATAGTTACGCCTGCAAATAAACAAGAAGGGAGAAGTAAAGGGACTGGTGGCATAATATTGATTTGATCCTACATTTAAGGAGTAGCTTGCCCTTTTCACAACGTTACCATTTATATCTCTGTTTGAGATTTAAGTTTAACTCAGTAGAATTTGTAGTAACACTTTTCTTCCACAAAAAAACTAACACCACATTTTTAAAATCAAATGAACAACTTTGGTTTAGATAAGAAAGTAAGATTTGTATTCTAAGATAAAAAAACACGACTATTGCTAAGAAGACAGAAATATTATTACAATTTAATTCATCAATTTTATTTTAACCAGTTACTTACCTTATTCCTTTATTTGTACTCTTTGTTGGACTTCCGTTTATTTTCGTAGGACTAGGAGATACTTCTGGTTCTTCCTTCTTCTCATCACGTGATCTTATTGCGTCATGCAATGCTCCTAAATCAATCTATTAGTTAATCAATTAATCTTAATAAATATAACTTTTATTTGGTGCTCTTTTAACCATTTTTTGTGGATTTTTCAAAATCCAGTTTTTAAAGGCAATTTTTTAATTTTGACCATCCAAAGACCATCCAAAAAATATTTGGGCCTGGTCGGTTCAACCGTTTTGACGTTTAACGGTTACAAACAAAGAAATATAGAGAGAGAAGAAGCACCACTAAGGGGAAAACCAAAACGTTCGAATTCCACCCCCGGCCCCAACAAAAATCTTAATCTCTCTAGGAAAACCTGAAAACTTAATGAAATTTGTTTGATAAAGAGGGAAAGCGGAGTAAATCTAACCTGACAATAGGTCCCTGGCTGCCCCAGTTATTTGACTACCCGGAGAAGGATGAGACTGAGTAAGCCGGGCCCGTTTCACCGGCGAGCTAACCGGGGACAAATTGGACATAATTCTGAAAAATTTAATAAAAAATAGCGTTATTAATCTGAATCACTGTCGACATATTTTCTGGTCCCGGAGGAAGAAAGATCCTTCTGAATACTCGACAAAATTGAAGGTTTATTGTTTAATTCGTTTTTAGGTTTCTTCTTCCCATGGAAGCTTCCCTTGTGCTTCTCACGGATAGCGCTCTCCCATTCAGTTCTAACCATAGTGTAAAGGCGTACAGCGGCCTGGGCGTCCTGTACAGAACTGTGCTCACCCGTCTGTACCTTCACACCTAAATTGTACAGGATTACATATTTTGTGATCCACAACACTCTGATGCGGATCCGAATCCTGGATCCACCCTGAAAAAAAGGATCCGGATCCAGGTCGTGAACATTTCAAGATTTACTAAATTTTTGAACAAATGAAAAATTTTCTTACAAAATATGCTCGCTTTTTTATGCTAAAACTTGGTGAAACATTTAGTGATCACAAAGTTAATTTAAAAATCACTTATTAGTACGTGAAGGTTTCTAGCCGGTTTTGGTTGGTTGGTTGGTTGGATCTGGATCCGCGGATCAGCATATTTTTGAAAATCCGGATTCTGAGAATTAAAGTTTAAACTATGGAGAGGAGAAATACGGGATGTTTTCGTTCTATTATGAAGAATTAAGATAGTTCAGACACCATTTATATGGTGAACTAAATGATTTTGAACAAGGTTTGGGTTTCCTGAGAAAAACGGACAGGCCGGACCGTGAGCATTCATCGTTTACTATACTTTGGTTGTTGGCAATTGAAATAGTTCCTAATCTGTTCTTATACGTCACAATAGAAAGTAAACAAAGTATTCTACTTTAAGTAGAATTTGTGAAACTCTGCACAAAAGCAATACTTTCAGTTGAGACGTGCAGAGGTGTATATTTTCTCAAAAATCCCGCTCTGCTTGTTGAAAATCTTTTCCCCCCCAGAAGTTATGTATGTTTGAACGAGCGCATTTTTAAAAGGTTTTATTCTCCGAATTGGAAAAAATAAATGATTACTAGGGGGAAATCAATGAATTTTTTGGTAAAAAGTATCAAAAAAGGATGTCAACTTATTATTTGTTCTTCATGTCATCAAAGGTATTTATTAAAAATTTGCACTTTATTTACCTATGAACATTTCACTAAGTCTCTTGAGAGCCGGAGTTTTCCCATTAAATCTAGCTCTGAAGGGCTTATACTTGGAAGTATCTCTGATCAGCTTCCTTGGATGATCCAGGTAAAGAACTTTGAGATCATGATGGATCGCGTGTCCAACTAGAATACGATCCTTGAGGATCTCCGCCACCTTGATCTGCACCGATTTGAAATCAGGTGCATTTTTTAAATCTTGCGGTCGTATTCCACTGACATGTGTTCGGAAGTCAGTTACGCGCTCAGTTGCCGCGACATATGTGTCGTAAACTAAGTTTCCAAAATGGTTGACAATACTGACCCTCGCCAGGATACTGTCCTCCCCATCTAAATACACCACAAATTAAAGAATTTGTATTTGTTTCAATCGTTCAAAAAAATTAATTTGTTCGTTCTCAAGATTATCGTTTATTTTCCATCTATTTCGTTCGTTTCCTCACTGAATAATCGTTTATTAAAATCATTCGTTCAGTAGAATTGTTCGTTCAAATTTTTATTTAAAAATTTAAAAATGGTTTGTTCAGTAAAACAGAAGATAAAAAAAAAGTTTGTTCCAAAAATCATTTGTTCCGAAAAAAAAACGATGCTTTTTCCAGATCTTTTGGAATATTCGCTTGTTTTTTTAAGTTCGTTCGAACGATTTTAAATCATTTGTATTTTTTTTTCGTTCGTTTTCATGAAAAAGTTCATTTGTTCTGAAAACTTATTCAAAAAATCGATTCCCATTGCTAATAGGGACACGTTTTCTATTTCATAACTTTTTCATGAAAAAAAACCAAGGTATGAGATTGAGCTAGATCCGGCTCAGTTTATTTCAATAAAATGCATTTGATCCTAAGTGCTGAATAAAGATTACCTTTTCCAATCCCCACCATTTCACAATCCATTCCGACAATCTTCGTTAAACCACTGAAACTATTCTCTTTCACAAGATATTTCTCCGGATTGGATGTTTCTCCGGTCTCTCCTCTAAGCTGAACCCGTCCCTCCAGGAGAACATCGTCCACGTCATCGAACCAGATCTCAGCGCCTTCCTCAACCTTAGGTTTAGGTTTATATCGAGGTTTGTAAGGTTTACCACTCGCGGGTTTATCAGCCTCACTTAACATTTAAATCTTAAATAATTAGAAAAAAAGATAATTAAGTAAGTCAATAAAAATCGTTAAAATTGTAATCATTATCTTAATTTTTGTACCTTTAACCAAAGAAACCCACAAAATACTACAAAGTGTAACGAAACGGGCCATTTAGGTGCCTTCAATCTTCATGTCTCTTAATTCGCATCATTAACAAGACTTGTATTTAGAATTTATTCAACGTGGTGAGGATGGCCAACCACAACAATTCCTAGTCCGAGCCATATTCTCCTCACGTCCGAGCCACCTCGAAATCCTCGTCCTATCAAAAATGATCTTTTTATTTGTCCAATTATTCAATATGAGATTAATTTTTGAAAATCTGGCTTCGTTGGACGCTTAAAAAAATATTTTTAAAAGAACGATGATTTCAAGGTTGTTAAGGACGAGAAAATGAGGAGAATGTGGCTCGGGCTGGGATTTGTTGTGGTTGGCCTTCCTCATCTTGATCAACGCCCACTTCTACCGTTTTATTTGTTTTTCAGGGGTGTATATAATTCCATATTTTTTATTCTTTTCCCCACCCCCCCTCTCTAAATTTTTTTGAATTCCTTCCCCAAACTCGACAACTCAAAAGACATAAAGATTAAACTCTTCTTAGATTTATTTTAGTATGATTTAAAATAAAGAAACAAGTGTTTTAATGACAATTAAAAAGTTACTCTAATTTTCAACTAACTCACGATATTAGTGATTCTAATTAGTATTTCCTATGTTCTTTTGATTGACTGATAAAAGAAATTATTGATCTTCATCATCTACCTGCCTGCAGGCACGAAAAATCACCGTCTATTCAACATTGATAAATGATAATTACACACTGTAGTGATGACTCATACACAACATAATGTTGTAACATGTTTTCAAACATCCACAATTATTCTCTTAACAACAATTGTGACAATACTTTACCTTCTTTTTCCATTCACCTTACTCTCCCATCCTCTCATCTTTCACTTCCCATTCCATTCCCTTCTCCTTCCCTTCTTCTTCCCTTCTTCTTCCCTTCTTCTTCCCTTCTTCTTCTCTTCCCCTTTCCTTCCCCTTCCCCTTCCCCTTCCCCTTCCCCTTCCTCCCCTTCCTCCCCTTCCCCTTCCCCTTCCCGTCTTTTGTGACCTTTAATTTCTGGGGGGAAATGGAATTATATACACCCCAGTTTTTTTTTTCTTAATAATCATATCACAACCATGCAAATAATGGCTAAGATGAAATTAAAATTTTAAGATTTAAATTCCTAATGTTAACTGTTTTAACTAAATTTTTCCAATTGGAAGATACATTCTCTTTCGACAAATCTTTCAATTTCGGAGCGACTGAAATAAGAAGTTATGAACTAAAGGGTTAATGTAAACGTAATTTCAATTCACCAATCAAAAAGAAACCCCTTAAAGCTCTTAAAGCTTATTAATTTGAATGGAACTGTCGGTATAATCTCTAATTACCTTTAATATTTAAACCTTCATCTGATCAACAATGTTAAATATATCGTCGTTTTTTATACTAATAAGTGCCTAATTCTGAAGATTTTTTTTATTAAAAAGTGCCCAATTCTAAAAATTTTATATATTTAATAAGTGCCTAATTCTAAAAATTTTTGATATTTAATAAGTCCCTTATTCTAATTTTTTTTATATTTTATAAGTACCTAATTCTAAAATTTTTTTACATTAAATGTGTTTAATTCTAAAGATTTTCTCTAATTTCTTGTGATCGAGTAGAAATTCACAAACCACTTAAAAAAAGAGGCCATAATTGAATTGTTAGATTTCTAAAGATATTTAATGGATATCACGTATATTCTGGATAAAATAGAGCTTTAAGGGGTTCCTTTTTGATTAAAAAATCTTAAGAATTAGGCACTTATATAATATAAAAAAAAATTTAGAATAAGGCACTTATTAAATATCAAAAATCTTTAGAATTAGGCACTTATTAAATATATAAAATTTTTAGAATTGGGCACTTTTTAATATAAAAAATCTTCAGAATTAGGCACTTATTGGTATAAAAAAACGGCTCCAGTACAAAAGGTAGAATTACAAAAGGTAGAACGATCATAAGGTAGAACGACAAAAGGTAGAACGATCAAAAGGTAGAACAAACAAAAGGTAGAATGTTCAAAAGGTAGAATTACAAAATGTAGAACGTTCAAAAGGTAGAATTTTCCAAATTAAATTTTTTTTTTAAATGTCAAAAAAAGTCAAAAGATAATGTTTCTTATTTATTAGGACTAATTTTTATTTTACAAACGTACATGATTTAAATCCATGCCAATAATTTTGGCAAGCTGTTTCATATATTGCATACAAGATTGTTAGCATGATCGTGCTTTGGTTCATTCTGAAGAAGGTTGGTAGAGGGGCGTGAAATAGCCCGCCCCTGGTATCCCTTCTTGAACTTCTGGCATCGCCAGAACTCTGTTCCATTCTTAATTTTCTCAAAATTATATTCATATTTCTGGTCGTCAATCAATGTTCTTTTCTTCTTTTGATTCACCCCATAGTTGACCAACCTCTCCATGCTGAATTCAACCGAGAAATGCAGTTTTGTGAAATTTTTTTTTAAAAATTCGCGGATTTTCCTGTAAAAATTTAGAAAAATTTCTTCCTTCTCAAAAATAAAAAATTCTACCTTTTGAACGTTCTACCTTTTGTAATTCTACCTTTTAAACGTTCTACCTTATGTTTATTCTACCTTTTGATCGTTCTACCTTTTGATTGTTCTACCTTTTGTCATCTACCTTTTGTAATTCTACCTTTTGTACGATATATTTAACATTGTTGATCAGATGAAGGTTTAAATATAAAAGGTAATTTGAGATTATAACGACAGTTCCATTAAAATACAACAATTATAAATTATGATAAACTAATATAACCTTTAAAACTAGAATTTTTAACGTACCATTTGTAATTTGTACAATTTCTCCTTTTGGCTTCTTTTTTCCTCGAAACTTTTTACGTTTTTTGACATTTTTGGAATCGGTGGAGGGTTTTAAGATTTCGGGAGTTTCTGTAGTTTCAGATGTTTTTTTCTTTTTCCTAAAGGGGGACATCTAAAAAAATAATCTATTAAACGTATTGATAATTTCATTTTTACATTTAAAAAAATAAATTCGTGTCAGAAAATTGATAACACGTGATAAAATTGATGAAAATTGTTGAAAACAAAAGCAATGTGATCTAACCTCCAAGTTTTGAACAGTTACAGTGCGCCAGAATACCGCGTAACTATTTCACTGCGTCAGCTTCGTATGTCTATTTTACGCAAATGTATAATTGACTCTGAAATACAAATTGATGCGTTAAAATCCCCAAAATAATTAACAATAAAAAATATAGAACAAAAGTATTGCTCACATTCATCAAAAATGGATTCGCTGCAGAGTGAAAACCTTGATAATATGAATAGGACGACAATTACATATTGTAATCACATTTCTACATTATTTATTTGAAGATCAAAGTAAATACTTATTTACAAGAGATCATATTTTTCATGGGGACCTTCAGTTATTATTTAACCCCCTCTGAAAGTTAGTCCAACTTTCAAAATTTACTTTACGCTCTGCGCAATTAAACTTTTAAAAACTATACTCTCTGCTGAAATATAAACATTTTTAGTAAATAGTTAGGGAAATAAACTGGTATACATGATTCAACAGAACTATTAAAAAAAATAACAATGTGGAAAATTTCTCATATTTGTGTAAAAGTGAACTTCTCACTCCTAAGCTCCTCTGAACACCTGAAACAAACCTCATATAAAATTTTGTTTACCCAATTAGCAAGATGTTAGATCTGTATAATCTTTGTACCTTCAGATCTGTATAATATCTTTAACTAACCTACTGGTAAGCTGGATGTCAGATCTGTATAGTCTCTGTAACTAACCTATTGGTTAGCGTGATGTCAGAACTGTATGATCTCTGAAACTAACCTTCTAGTCAGCTTTATGTTAGATCTGTATTATCTCTGAAACTAACCTACACGTTAGCTTTATGTTAGCGCTGTATAATCTCTTAAACTAACCTACATGTTAGCTTTATGTTTGATCTGTATAATCTCTTAAACTAACCTACACGTTAGCTTTAAGCTCAATCTGTATAATCTCTTAAACTAACCTACACGTTAGCTTTATGCTAGATCTGTATAATCTCTGTAACTTACCTACTGGTTAGCTAGATGTCAGATCTGTAAAAGCTCTGAAACCAACCTACTGGTTAGCTAGATGTTAAGTTTCTATTATCTCTTAAAATAATCTATTGGTTATCTAGATGTTAGGTTTCTATTATCTCTTAAAATAACCTATTGGTTAACTAGATGTTAAGTTTCTATTATCTCTTAAACTAACCAATTGGTTAACTAGATGTTAGGTTTCTATTATCTCTTAAACTAACCTATTGGTTAACTAGATGTTAGGTTTCTATAATCTCTTAAACTAACCTACTGGTTAACAAGACGAAAGGTTTCTATAATCTCTTAAACTAACCTACTGGTTAACTAGACGTTAGGTTTCTATAAGCTCTTAAACTAACCTATTGGTTAACTAGACGAAAGGTTTCTATAATCTCTTAAACTAACCTACTGGTTAACAAGACGAAAGGTTTCTATAATCTCTTAAACTAAACTACTGGTTAACTAGACGTTAGGTTTCTATAAGCTCTTAAACTAACCTATTGGTTAACTAGATGTTAGGTATCTATAATCTCTTAAACTAACCAATTGGTTAGCTAGATGTTAGGTTTCTATAATCTTTTAAACTAACCTATTGGTTAGCTAGATGTTAGGTTTCTCTAATCTCTCAAACTAACCTATTGGTTAACTAGATGTTAGGTTTCTATAATCTCTTAAACTAACCTGCTGGTTAGCTAGATATCAGATCTGTAAAAGCTGTTAAACTAACCATCTGGTCTGATTGTATGATCTCTGAAACTAACCTTCTAGTCAGCTTTCTGTTAGATCTGTAAAATCTTATAAACTAACCTACACGTTAGCTTTAAGCTCGATCTGTATAATCTCTGTAACTTACCTACTGGTTAGCTAGATGTCAGATCTGTAAAAGCTCTGAAACTAACCTACTGGTTAACTAGATGTTAGATTTCTATAATCTCTTAAACTAACCTATTGGTTAGCTAGATGTCTGATCTCTGGGAGGGTCAGGGTTAACCAGCTGTAGAGGGTTTCCGGGCAACCTTCGGTCAGTAGTGTAGAGAGTGAATGGGTCATGACACTCTGCACCCAAGGTGAAAAACATTTAGAGCCACCAAACCATATATTATGGTCAGATTTGAAAAGAAGAAAAAAAAAACAATGTTTGATAATAAAGATTTTTTTGAAAACCAGGTCTTGGTTCTTTGTTAAATTGAAACTGGTTTTTTTATTTCGCGAAAAGAAACTTCATTTAAATTTTTTTTAGGAATTTCCACCTTCCTTGTTTTTATCCAACAATGTAACATACAACTCCACTCCAGTCTCAAATATGATCAGCTAAAGAATTACAGATAATATTTGAGATATGATCAACTTAAGAATTACAGATAAGATTAGTCACAAATATGATCAACTAAAGAATAACAGATAAGATCAGTCTCAAATATGATCAGCTAAAGAATAACAGATAAGATCAGTCTCAAATATGATCAACTAAAAAATTACAGATAAGATCAGTCTTAAATATGATCAACTAAAGAATTACAGATAAGATCAGTCTCAAATATGATCAACTAAAGAATTACAGATAAGATCAGTCTCGAATATGATCAACTAAAGAATTACAGATAAGATCAATCTTGAATATGATCAACTAAAGAATTACATATAAGATCAGTCTCGAATATGATCAACTAAAAAATTAAAGTAAATATCAATTTCATAAGCAACATTAATCTTATTTATTGTTCAAAGGGCTGTAAGCGTAATTTCAAGTGACCCTCCATGCAAAGATTGCAATGCCCGATTTACAACGTACCACCATTGAAACCTTAATCTGATAAAAAATGTGGAAGATTCCGTCACTCTTCTGACTAGAAAAGTTTTTATTTCTGTGAGTTTCTCCATTGTTACATATGAAACAAGAAATTAAAAAGTAACAACAAATATACAGTTTAAAGAAACAATTAACATTAATGTCTAATTCATGCTTATCCAGGACAAATATTTCAAGCTGGTACTGTTGTAAATCGGGTATTGCCATCTTTGCATTAAGGGTCACTTGAAATTACTTATTATTATTCAAGTCTTTATTGGGTCTAGGCGATACAATTAATAATACATATTATTATGGTCAGAGATTATCGCATAGTTATTCATTTACTCGTATTTAAGATAAGATATAACGAGTGTTACACAATGAAAAATTCAATAAAACCAAAAAAATTAAAAATTGAAATTACGTTTATAGGCCCATAAAAGATCATTTATCATATATGACATGAGAAATAGCTGTGAACACTTAACAGTATATAGCGAAAACAACAGTTCTTATAATCCAGATAAAAAACTTTAAATAAAAATATCAAAATTAATAAATTTGTTAAATTAAAAAGAACAAAATATATGCCAGAGGTAAAAAAAAAATGTACAATGAGGAATTTAAAACCAAAAAAATCAGTAATAACCTTAATAATCACAAAAAGTGCCCTGAGATTCTCTTTTTAATTGTTTTAAAATTATATACGCAGAATATGAGGGGAGAGGGGGGTGGGGGTTTGGGCATCATGATTAAAATCATGAAATGACAGCGACCTCATTGTACCAATGAAGCTCATAAAAATCAGTACAATTTTATTTTTATTTTAATATTGTAAATTTATTCGACACAGTGGAAATATATATATAAAAACAGTCAATATATAAAACAATAATTATTATACATCAATAATCTCATGGTTTAAACGAGGTATTTAGATAAGTAGGTTTTTGAGTGCTATGTCAACAAAGTAATTTTGGGATTTTGTTAAAAGCTAAGACACCTAGTGGTAGAAATATGAACTACGACTGAGACAGAGACAGCTGCTACAGTACTATAGCATAAGAAGCGAGTGAAGGGCGCCCGAGAGGGGAATGGATTAGACTCGCACGTCTACGCGAATACCGAATAATTTTTTCTTTCATACTCTCTCTTTATGAAAACTTGCTTCTAAATAGCGGAGGAGTGGTGTGATGGGTTAAGGATGGATTATGAGTTTGAAAAAGGTTGGTTTTTAGTGTTGATCCAATCTGGATACTAATGTTAAGTATTTTGCAACCCCTGACAGATTCATGTTTCAAAACCTACCTGTTATCTAAAGGGACTGTCAACTGGAAGGGGANTGTTACAAAGACTTACTTTGCCCCTCCTGATACGAAGACTTTTAGTGATGTCTTATTTCCATACTTCATATTCAAAATGACTTTATATAGATAAAAAATTTAGCCTGGTCTTGCAATGATCCTATAATGTCACTTTTTGAGATCCGTTTAAATGAAAAAAAGGGATAACTCCAAAACTTAAAGCCAGACCGAGGCTTCAAGGGCAGCATTGTGAATCAGACAGTTGATACACGACACCCCTATAATCAGGGAGAGTCACTTTAAATCATGTTTATATTGAAGTGCTTAATCAGGATCCATTTCATTTTGATCCGGATCCAGCTCCAGATCAAGGTTATGAACATTTCATTGATATTTACTGATTTGTTTTAAACAGAAGAATTTTCAAAATATTTTTCTTCCTTTTTCACTTATTTTTTTGCTTAATCTTGATTAACCATTCAGAAAAAAGGAAATCTTTATAATCTCTATTTTTTAACAGTTCAGACCTGAGGTCGTATTCAGAGAGCCAAAATGATGCGGATCCTGATCCTAAGCACTGATAAAAACAAAATATTCTACCTTACAATGTGCCTCTAGATGATTGACCTGCACTGTATTATTGCTCAGTTCCATGGACACTGCTCCTCTCCGTCTACAAACAAGAATTTATAAGTGTTATGCCAGTGATAATACCAGTATGTCTCTCATGGATAAATTTTGAAGAATGGAACATCAAATACCATGTTTTTCATACTTAGGACTGTAGGCGTAATTTTAAGTGATTCCATGCAAAGATAGCAATGCCTGATTTACAATGGTACCTTTGAAACCTTAATCAGCTCTGATCTGTAAATTTTTCCACAAATCTGATTACGGTCCAGTTGTAAATCGGGCATTGCCATCTTGCATCTTGGTGGGTCACTAGAAATTACGCTTACAGTCCCTAAACACATAAAAATCATTTAATTTCCCCAATTTTATAACTACTGATAAATTCAGTATTAAAAATTAAGAACAAATTCTTGGGCTAGTTATACAGTCTGAAGACTTTTCTAGTCCGCAAACTAGTGTCTGTCATTGTAAATATTTATTACATATATCACTACTTTTATCCTTTGACCTTTAATTTATACATATATTGTTAATATTTAACCTCTGAACTAGTTTAAATTATTCATTATTATTATTCTTATTATTATTATAACATGCAATTTGACGATATAGATAATTTGCAATAATATTACCTGCTCCACTTCTTCAGATGAGGTACCAGAGATTTCTGGTTAGTGCTCAGACCTGTCATTCCCTTTAATTCATGAAAACAAATATTTAAGGGACTAGACATGTAATTAAAGAGACTGAGACTGTTGTCCAAGAACCCTCAACTATTTAAGGGACTAGACATGTAATTAAAGACTGAGACTGTTGATGTGTTGTTCAAGAACCCTCAACTATTTAAGGAACTGGACATGTAATTAAAGAGACTGAGACTGTTGATGTGTTGTCCAAGAACTCTCACCTATTTATGGAACTAGACATGTAAGTAAAGACAACTGAGACTGTTGATGTGTTGTCCAAGAACCCTCAACTATTTAAGGGACTAGACATGTAATTAAAGAGACCGAGACTATTGATGTGTTGTCCAAGAAACCTCAACTATTTAAGGAACTAGACATGTAATTAAAGAGACTGAGACTGTTGATGTGTTGTCCAAGAACCCTCAACTATTTAAGGGACTAGACATGTAATTAAAGAGACCGAGACTGTTGATGTGTTGTCCAAGAACCCTCAACTATTTAAGGAACTAGACATGTAATTAAAGAGACTGAGACTGTTGATGTGTTGTCCAAGACCCCTCACCTATCGTGACAAAATGATAATGGTAACCTTTCAAACACATTTTATTGTTTTTCTACCCAAAAATCGTTAATTTTCAATAGTTGTTGTTTCAATCATAAAGGAATTAGACATATCAAATGAACAATGAGCAAATAAATGGATAATGTGCAGTGTTCTTGACAATCAAACCAAATAAAACAGACTCTCATGTATGTCCTACTCCAGCCCACCGACCCCACAGTAACAATAATAAATCAGTGCTGGTGAAAGCTTCAAAAGGATTTGTTTTTCTTAATTTTGTTCTTCAGTAAATTATTTTATCAATGAAGAATTATTAATGAAAGAGTTATTTTTTTTTTCTCATCAAACAGTAGCCAGCAAATATCAATTTCAGTACCTGATAATTCATTGGTATATACACTGACCATTCTTTTTTATGTAGTATTTTAGTACCAGATACTGTATTGAGATATATAATAGACACTGTATTATATCACTATTTCCGTAGATCTTGTATTGATATAAATGCTGACCACAGTACTACAAAAGACGTCCGACATTTTGCAAATTACCTATCTCAGCCCCTGAGATGTGATAAGATCTACCTGCAAAGGTTTCCCTGAATCATGAAGATTATCTTCCATATAGTTGATAACACTCTTCAGTATTCCAACCCGCATCTAAATAATAAGAAATTAGTTTTTTAGACATCGAGAACTGATAATTAACAATTGTGGTTTCTCTAGAATCCACTTTTTTTAAAATGAATTGTCAGTTGTCAATTGAAAATACAATAACAGTAAGTTCAATCGAAGCCAGGCTTTCCTAAAGTTCACACCTTTAACACTAGCTATGCATGTCCTGTAAGGACCAGGGTAAAAAAGAAGAATACATGTATAAAAAATGTTGCTTAATATTGCTAAATGAAAAAATGTAAATTAACTATTCCCAATTTGTGAAAATAAATGACAGTCCCTCTAATGTATTGTATTACCTTGAGATCATATCCATATTGAATTGGTCCTTCCAGTGAGAACAAGAAATTCTTTCCCTTCATGTCAATGAACTCAACTTCTTTTCTAAACAACTTTAATGTTGAACCATTTCGCATTAAATGATTTATGGCATATATTTGGCTAAGAAATATTGACCCTTTCTTAAAAATCATTTCAAAATATCTTTTTCTCTTAATTTTACTATTTTTATTTAATTTTCATGATAATTGTCAAAGATCACAGGTGTCTAAATAATGGATCATTATCAATTAGATTACCAGAAAATAGATAACCAGCAAAAGGGGAATGAAGATCGAAAATGTCTTGCAAGATAGATTCTTGGCTTTGTGACAGTTCTGAAATTTAAAATTTCTTATTTGGTAATAAATAACATGATAATTTAGTGAAAAAACAGTCAAAAAGCTAGATAAGATGGTAATAATGGAACAAGTATCATAAATATATGTATATATATATTAAGTTTTAATCTATAAGCAGAGATTTTCACTAAATAGTAAATATTTTTTTCTGTTAAGAGTTTTCTGGTTATCACTGTACATAAAAATTCACCCACAAAGGATTAACTTATTTTTATAAAGGTTCAAACTTCAAAGTTCAATAGGAACATTTATCTGGACTTTTTGTTCCCTGCTGCTGAGAATTTGTTTACATTAAACTGCATAGTTTACATGTAGTTTCAGCTAGCTGTCTGCAGCAAGAGAACATATTTTCATCTAATAGATGTTAGTTTTTAATATTATTATTTATACTTTTTGATGGATCAGTTTTTTTTAGCCTTTTAAAGATGTTTAATTTGGATCACCAAATATTGATCATTTATTTATATGATCTTAAAAACTTCCATTTCATTGGCATATGACAAAACAAATGTGGAACAAGGTCAAACAAACATAAGACATGACAAATGTAGGACTGGACAACCATTTGTGAGACAAACCTAGGAGTAAATAGAGATGGGCATGTTCGGCTTTTCTTCATATTGTATGTTTATTGTTTGTGAACAACCCATTTTTTATTTTTTTTAATTGTTCAAAAAAAAGATTTAGTTTTTCTCAAAACTATCTGTCATCTATTTCGTTCTTTTTCTCCCTGAACAACTGTGCAGTAAAATTGTTCATTCAGTTAAAAAAAATTTAGTTTAATAAAAACTATTGGGGTTTAAAAAATTTTCTTTGTAGAAACCATTTGTTCAATAAAATAACAATAGTTTTTTTAAAGTTTGTTTGAATGAACAATTTAAAAATCACTCATGAATGATCAAGATCGCTTCAATGATTTTAAACTGTTCGTTTTTAATTTTTTCATTTGCATTTAAAAAGCTATTGTTTTTCAATTTCTCTGAACAATCCAAGTCATTTATCCATTTTTCATTTTTTCTGAACGACACAATTGTTCACGAATAATTAGTCCATTTTTAAAAATTTAGTTTGGTTACAAAAACGATGCCAATCCTTCATAGGACAGACACATGACAGATAGCTCAAACATTGGAAAGACATGGGTGGGACAACAAAAGAACAGAAAGTTTGAGACATTTGTTTAACAGAACAAGCAAGACAAAACATAGTTATGGTAGCTTTTTAGACAGTCCTAGGACAAAAACATAGTCCAAGACAGATTTAGGATATAAAAAGTATGACTGACAAATCATAAACAAAGTTTTGAAACATTCTTAAACTTCTTTTCATGTTTAGGACAACATCTTAGCACATCATGCGATATGTCAAGCTTGGACGTAAACCTCTCCTTATTGGAGTTGGACATCATTGGGCGGTAAGAGTAGAATCCAGCAGTTCAAACGGTTGCTGGTATGAGATTTTAGGAAATTCAGGAAATTCAGCAAAAACTGATCAAAATGAGATTGGAAGAAGTTATACAAGAGCAGCAAAGAGTGGAGCAGGGTCTTTGGGAGGCTCGACTGTTGGTAAAACAACCAAATCTGATGAAGAAATAGACGACTTCATTTCAAGTTGGCTATCACAAAATCCAAAATATGGTCTTTATGCAGCAAATTGTCAAAAATTTGCAACCGAATTTATAGCTTGGTTAACTGATGATAATTATAACATTTCGGCAGCATTTGATACTGGAAATGTAGAAACTAAATCTAACAGTCTAACTCATGCCGTAGCACATGATGGAACTGCATATGCATGTGCATCACTTGGAGAAGGACGAGGAGCTATAGGTCCTTATTCTGTAGTTGCCCGATTGCCTACTGCTCATGCGGGGGTATCAGATGGAACAGAAGGTTTGTATGCGGTTGCTGAAGCTTCTGCAATTCGTTATGAAGCAAACTATGGAAATGTTGTTGGTGCCCATGTGGATGTGAATGTCAATACAGGATTGGGATTTAGAAATGGCAATGCTGAAGCACATCTTCTGGGGTTCGGAGGAAGGGTAGGAACAGATGGTGTAGAAGTCAACACACCACTAGGAGGAATTCGTATTCCTGCTCTTGGTGCACCAATCAATTGGATTGGAGGATTATTCCGTTAAGAATAAACCATTAGTCCCAAGAATTTGAAAACACTTAAAACAAGTATCAATATTTCTGCTTTTAACCCTGCTTATTGGTAAAGCCATGCATTGTTTTTGTTATTTTTCTTAATTTTTATAACCAACATTGATTTAAACTATTTAGATTTACTCTATGCTTTTAACTTTTATTCTCTTACTAGTTGTGAAAAATTATTTAAATTTCACTTTTTTGGCTTATTCTTTTGCTTTTTATGTTATTCTTTATATTTTGTAAATATATATGATTTTTCTTATACAATTTTGGGAAATTTGCTATGATAAGATATATTGATAATTTCATTTTCTTATAGTTAAGACTTTGATAATAAAAATAAATATACTGGTGTATCATACATATTTTTATTTAAGAATGATGGGAGTTAAGCCTGAAGGGATTAATTAATTCGTTTTATCAAAACTAAAGAAACCCCAATAATATAATGGTTTGTTAAAGAGAAAGAAAATTGTTTTCTATATTTTAAAATAAAGATTTGAAGGTAAGAATATAAGGATTACCTGTCCGGGGTGCAACCCATCCTGGTGGAGTCATTGAAGAGAAGTCCTACAGCATTATTGGAGAGCTGGTAACCAAACCCAAACGTGTTGGAGTAGTCGACCCACTAAAAATTGAGATTAAATCCTTAAATCAAATAATTGTTCTGAGTTCAAAAATTTTGTATTTTGTTTAATTTAACTAAATCCTTACATTAAAAATTAATACTTTGGATATATAGTTAAGTCAAAATGGCAAAGTTGTTGTTCCGACCAAAGGTTTTGCCTTTTGATAAAATTAGGTTTTTTAAAAGGGCTTGTCAAATTGATTTCTTGAGACCCCTCACTTAAAGTTACATGCCCTTATGAAAAAGAACCCTTTGAATCTTGTCAGAGAGAGATTTATATAGATATCCTAGTTTTTCTGAAAATCACTTGTGGTTTTGGTTACATCATAAGGTCCAAAAATTGGTGTATCTATAAAAACGCTACCCTAAAAAAACGCTACACTAAAAAAAACGCTACATAGGCTATATTCGCTACAAGTTTATTGCATGTTTCTGTTTGTGTATAAGATTTTAAAATTCACATAGTCGTAAATTAAAAATAAATCATTAGTTTATAATTTAAGAGATATATATTTTTAAATTCTCATAGTCATAAATGGAAAAATTATAAGTGTACCACATATTATTACGGTCATTCATTCTTGAATGGGCAATTAATTCTATTTTTATGACATTTTACATGTACATAACGGCCACAAATGCACCTCTTTGAGCCTCCCTTACGTTTAAAATTCAAATTACAAAGATGACAAATTCTGGTGATGGTCTGGTCTTGATGAGTGATATCTGTTGTATCCGACAGTTTAGTTCTTTTGGGGCTGGAATTATCTAAAAATTGAAATACTTAGGAAATATTCATTGGAAACAAATGTTAATTATAAGCATTAATATATTTTTCATCATATTACCTAAAATTGTTGTGGACTTTCTTTTTGTTCTGCACTGGGTCGATGGTTTGTTTTGATCTAATCTCAGATACAAATGAAGTAGCAGAAAGTTCAAGATCTCTAAGGTTCAAGGATTCTAGAATACACTCAAAAATGTCTTGATAACTACGTTTTTTCTTATCTGGGAGCAAAGCAAATAGAACTGGTATACAATCGATATGTTGAGTTATTCATCCTATTGTAATGCTTCATTATAATGCTGGAATCAGTTGGAGTAATGGACTGATAATGTCCAGATTGAAAAAATGTTTCTTCAAACCATAGAAGAGTTAGTGGAGCACTATATTGATCTCGATTATCAGAGCGAATTAAACAATACTGTTTACAGATATGGGCAGAGATTTCAAATACAGGGATATACAGAATATCACGTCCAATTAAGTTTGAAAAAATTTGTAGACAGTACTCGTCTCCGAATTCACCAAACTCGCGCATTCTATCTAACCAGTCTTCAATTGGTTCATCTTCATTTATCCAGATTATTCTCTCTGTTTCAAGTTGTTCTAGTAGGCTGAGGACTACAGCAGATCTAACAGATTTATGACAGTTATAAGGTGTACCTGGATCTAGTTGAACAAGCTGATCAGCTAAACTGTGAAACATACAGTTTCCATCAGAAGGAGTTATTGGTTGAGTTAATGAGAAAAAAAATCCTGTTTTTTATAATCTCTGTTCAGCCTTTTTCCATCCTTCTTGAAGTTATAATAGTCCACCGGTTTGCTGCCCAGACTTAGATAAATCAGATATAACAATCGGACTAATATCCTTGTTTGAGCTATCCTTGTTTAGTGATACATCTATATTTCGATAAATTTTCTTAGATTTACTTAGAATTGCAGCAGCAACCGAAGTTGCAGTTCTTGCAACTGCTAATTCTGACAAACTAGATTCACTATCTTCCATTAACCTTCTTTGTCTCAATATATCTCCTGTTTCAATATTTTCTCTTGATGTTTCGATTATTTGTGGGTTTTCAATATTACAAATACTTTGTCTATCTCCAGGAACAGGAATCTGCCTTTTGTTTTTTCGTTTTGCAGGTTTCTTTTTATGTGGATTATTAATGGGAGAGGAAACTTTGGACTGAACAGGTTTACTTAGTGAGTCATTCATATCAAAAACAGTTAACTCGGAACCATCAAAACTTTTTTCAAGGTTTAAACTTTCATCGCTCAATGAATCTGTTTCATCTAAATCATCTTGAACACCGGGAATTCCATACCCATATGGATCAGGGTCAAGATCAGATCTAAAATCTGCATTACGAATACAAGTATTTCCCATTGTTTGCTGATAAACTAGAAGCTCAATATTTCCTTTACTGTAGGACTTCATTAGACTATCTTGCCTCTCACGCAGTTTCTTATATTTTACAGAAATCTTTTTTTTAGTTTTACACATAACTTCTACCAGAGCCTGATCTTTAGCAATATTTAACTCATCCTTTATAACTAATATTAATGTATATGGATTAGGATGTTTGCTGATTATTTTTTTGTTGCTCCCAAGAGCATAGTTATAGCCCTCAGCCAAGTTATTTGTCCTTGTTTTAACTTTAAACATATTCCAAATATTTAAGTCCAATTTTAACCAAAAAGATTCTATGTAATTCAGCATTGAAGTGGCAAAATCTCTACATTTTTTGGTTTTTAGTTGACTGGACACTTTTCTATTGTTTTTTACTCCTTTTAATATGTCTTCAGTTTTCAATAAAGGAAGTCCAATCATCAATCAAGAGCCAAACTTGGGTTCATCACTTTTTTTTGCATAATATTTTTGCATACCACTTTTTTTAACTCTGGACCAGATGGCTTTTGCATAATGAAAATAACAGCCTTTAACAGGAACATTTAGGAATGTTTCCTCAAAAGTTTGCCTGATATTTGTTTCAAAGTCAGATACAAATGAAGTAGCAGAAAGTTCAAGATCTCTAAGGTTCAAGGATTCTAGAATACACTCAAAAATGTCTTGATAACTACGTTTTTTCTTATCTGGGAGCAAAGCAAATAGAACTGGTATACAGCAGAATTCGGTCCTACGCTGGCATGAATTATGAAAACTTGATACCAGAGATATGGCGTGATGCGGAACGTTCCATCTCCTGTAATAACAAAATTAAATTTTTGCGAACACTCCCTTTAAAAAATTCTTTGCAACAGTCCCTTTAAAATAAAAAATTCTTACCATGAATTGTTTCTGCTCTAGAGAGAATCTCCAAACACTTGTTAGTGAAGCACACAAGGGTCCTTACTCCATCAGAGTGAAGGTAATCTCCGATCACTATGGATTGATCATTGATCAAAAACCACTTGGAATGAATATCTAGTTCACCCTGGGTTTCTGGGGCTGGCGGGATAAAAAGTCTTCTGATGGCGTAAATTTGAGTTTGTAAAACTTCATACGGTTTGATCGGATCCCAAAACAAAATTTTCTCTTCCCGGACAGACAGTTCTCGAGTGAGTACAGATCTAAAAATGTCAATATTAATTTCGAACTTGCTTCAGTAATATACACAAAATTGAAATATTTTAATAACAAAATTTGTCCATAACAAAACAAATCATTTTTTTCAGCTAAGTAATGTGTATCACACTTAAAATACTAAAAGTAAAAAAATAAATATGTTAACATATGATTTTTTACCTGGTTTTCTTATAAAGAGCAGGGATTGCCTGGCAAGAATCATTTCTCAGCTCATCTAATACTTGTTCGTGGAACTTTGAAACTTGATCTTCTATACCAGATAAAACACATGCATGATTGTCTGGATGAGGATAGGAATCAGGCTCCAGATGATATTCGTCATCTTCCTCTTGTTCTTGGAGCAGTACAGTAGCGAAACAACTTGTATATGTTTTCATCCGTTCACAGGAAGTACATTTTAAGGTGGTGACCAAATTAAAACAATATATAAAATATTTATATTTTATATATATTTTATTTTAGAATAGTAGCAAATATATATCTCTATAAATTATAAACTTATACACACACAGAAACAGGCAATAAACTTGTAGCGAATATAGCCTATGTAGACTTTTTTTAGTGTAGCGTTTTTTTAGTGTAGCGTTTTTTTAGTGTAGCGTTTTTATAGTGAAGCGTATTTATAGTATGACCCAAAATTTGTACCTCAAAACATTCATAAAATATTTCCTGTGGATAAAAGTAACTTGTGGATTTACACAGTAGGGACAAGTAACTCATTAAATATTGTTTTTTATTAAAAATTATGATATTTGTCCCTTTAAAGATTCATTTCTAACATACTGACCTTGGACACAAACACAGGTAGATGAGTATGAAGGGATCGAGTGTCCCTACTCTGCCTGTCTCCTTGAAGTTCTACGACTGCTGCAACAGCATCATGAACCCTCTGGATAAACCGGGTCTTCTTATCAAACAAACTTCCAAACTTCTGTTTCAAGGTGGAACCTTCTCAACATTTACTTTCTACTTAGATCCCCATGCTNAAAAAAAAAATTTGTTTTACCAATGACAAATTGTTTTCTGAAAACATACCCAACCCTGTGTCATCACTTCAATGATAAATTAAATGTTTGCCTAGCTGAACACTACTGGGGGAAAATATTGGTGAGAAACTTCCACACCCTGCATCCTCATTCGTGGGACGTCTTTATTATTCAGAATTAATTGTTAAGAAAATTGTCTCAGTGACACTAAAAAGCCATAAGCATTCCTATAACAATTTTTTGGATAGTGAACATTTTTGCTGCATGGGTACAAGAAGGATTAAACATTAAACTATGGTGAAGTAAAATTGAATTATTTTTGTTGAAGGGCAATAAAATTCTTTCCTTCCAGTAATGCTGACAGCTGAAGATTTTGCATGGTTAGAAAGACTTCCTCTCTCCAAGGCTTTTAATTCATCTTCAAGGTCTGGTACAGTTCTACACGATCATAAAATTAAATGGAGAAATAAAAAATTCTATTTCTAGGCCAAGTTCAGGCTCTTTGTTCTAGGTTATTTGATTCTAAATGCTTGCTACTTGTACATGGTCCTTGGATTTTGGTTCTAGGTACCAAATTCCAAGGTTCTACATAAGGTTCTAGGAATAAGGTTCTAGCTAGCAAGTTCCAAGGTTCTAGGATCAAAATTTAGATTCCTAGTTCTAGCTCCAGGTTTTAGGTTTATTTCCTAGTTCCCAGTTCCCAGTTTTAGATTCCTAGTTCTAGCTCCAGGTTTTAGGTTTATTTCCTAGTTCCCAGTTTCCAGTTCCCAGTTCCAAGTTCCAAGTTCCAAGTTCCAAGTTCCAAGTTCCAAGTTCCATGTTCCAAGTTCTATGTCCTAAGTCCCAATTTTCAAGCTCTGATTCTTAAAATAAATTTTACCTGATCGCTGAGCTAGGAAGAGTACTTGGGATAAACTCCAGAAGAAAAGGCTGCTGGAAAAGGTCATCAAAATCATCCTTAATGATCTTATCATCATACTCTTCAGTTGAATAAAAAAGTTGTTTAGTAAAAAAATAAGTAGTTCAGTTGTTATAACAAGTTTGTGCGTCATTACAAAAGTTTGTCAGTCTATTTAATTTGGTCAGTGGGTACAAAAAATTCTTTTAGCTAGTACAAAGTAAATCAGTTTGAACTAAAGTTAAGTGATCAGTACAATCAAATTTCAATCAGTACAAAAAATAGGTTACTCCGAATAAAAAGATAATCTATAATAAAAGTTGGTCAATCAGACAAAAGGTTGGTCAGTTTGAACAACATCTTGGTCTGTCAGTACAAGTTGGTCAGTTAATACCACAACTTAGTCATACTAGAAATTAGTCCATCATTGGACAAAAAAGTTTGTTTGTCACCACTTTAGTTGGTCAGTCAGACCAAAATTGATTAGTCAGGCCAAAATTTTATCAATCAAGCCACAAGTTGATGAGCCTGAACAAAAATTTGGTCAGCCAGAAAAAGGTGGTAAGTCAATAGACAAAGTTGGTCAATTGGACAAAAAAGATGTTTAATCAATAAATCACGGGATGAATCAGAAGATATGGTTGCTATGGAAATAAATCAATATTTTACCTGATTGGGCATTCCAAGGTGTCCTCTCTTTTCAGGGTCTGGATGAAGCATTAATTCAATCATATCCCTGTAATCTGGAAGTTTAGCAAAAGATATTCTAACATGTAAACTTCACAGTTCTTAAGTTCACATAATTTTTTTTATGATATAAATGTTTATTTCAGTGCGATATGTTTAAACAGAAAAACATTTTAAAATTTTGAAAATATAATTAACATGACTTCAAGTGATTCAGCATTTTTAGAGTGGCATGCCTGATACTGAACAATAAAGCCTTTGTTTAAGAAATAATTGAGATATTTTTAGGGCTTCACAGAAAAAATGAAGATTTAAGCAGCAGAAATTTTAAGCTCAGATTGAAATTTTTTATCACAATTTTGGATTCTCTGTGAAAGAATTTAACTCTTAACAAGATAGCACAAAGAAGATATCTCTCTATAACTTTCTCAGATACAGATATAAAGGGTTCTGTTGGGAATCAGGCATGATGAAATTGCACCGAAATGTTATTAATTTTTTTTAAATGCCAAACTTTGCCTGGCATTATCTGTGAGGTTGGCCTGGTTCGGTATTTTAAAGTCACCATCTTTAATCTTCTTGTAAGTGTTCTTCAGAGACTGAGTCATGGGTTTCCCCTAACTTTTTTTAAACATTAAGTAAAACTAACATAATAAGTCAAATAACTTTTCTAGGAAAAAATATAATAATGTAAATTGATAATAAATATTAAGTTTCACCAATGTTTTTTTTTATTTAATGCTAATAAATGGGTTCACAACTCTTTGCAAATGAAAATGCAGAAACAAAATATACCGACTTATTTGATGTTGTTATATGTAAAGCAAATAGTATTACCAGTAAATTGGAAATCATCTTTTCAGTGAAATGGATTTGTGTACTCTGCACAACAAATGCCGTGTTTTATGTTCATTAGTCATGGCCAATTAAAAATCCTAGCTTCAGTTCAACAGTTCTATTTGAGAGTTTTAAGGGTTTCACTGTTTAAAAATTGATCATCCGGTTAAAATCAAGTTATAAGAATTCCTTGGTTTCGAAAGGCGGATATCCACACAGCAAGGCAAACAGGATGCAACCTACTGCCCAGATGTCAGATGACACTCCATGACCTTGTAATTGATTTCATTAACATGTACTTTTCCATCCCCCTTCTTCCAAAGTAACATTTTTCCACAAAACATCTTATCAAACAATTAAGCCACGGCACTCTCCTATCCCCGCAGTGTATCCAAAAAGTATGAGACTTCTTTCAAAGACGACCAAAAATTTCTGTATTTACATATGCTGATACCATAAAAGGTTAATATACACACTGATTCAGCCCTCTTATAGACAGTCTCATAAATTTTTAAGACATGGTCGACTTTGAAGAGTCACAACGCCATGAGTTTGATTTTACCGATCCAACTCACTTACACCTTTCTGTACATTTTTGTACTAAAAAGCACTTGTCAGTAGCTTTGGTATTAAAGAAGCAATTGGAAAAATTCTCAGTTTTTTGCTTAAGAGCTTCAGACCTTCAAATCACCAGTTTACAGTAGTAGGCAATTATATCAATACAATTAAGACAACTTCCCAATCCCATTTCAATTTTGATTAATATCAAACTGTTTAACAGTATAGATTCACATAAACATGTAAGTCAAGAGAAGATGTCAATTTAAAAAAGCTTATCTGTGATCAGTGATCACTTGTAAACTTGTTATTCGAAAAAAGCTTGTGAACAATAAAACTTAAATAAAAAATGTGTCTTCATTGTATTTATAAAATCAAAAACTTACTGCTTCAACAAAACAAGAATTTTAGAAGTTTTTACTGTACATTGTCTAGGAAGTGTAATCCTTTGTGGTTAACCCTTCACCTATTATATAATTAATGAGATACAAACCCCGTGTAAGTTATCAACTGGTGTGTAGATAAAGTTACTATAATTTTCAGCTATATAGAGCAACTTTTTAAACTATTTTTAACACTGTTATTTTGGTTCACAGTGTTATAAAGTTTTTGGACAGAAATTTTATCTGTATCAAGAAGGTTCAAGCCTTTTTAGATTTAATTTTGTCCCGAACTTTCGCGAGGGACAAAATATAATCTAAAAAGGCAAGAACCTTCGAAATATAGAGAAAATTAAAGTTCAAAAACTTTATAGAAAGTCGTGCCAAAATAATACTGTTATAGATAATTTGATGAAACGTTTGTGTACTTGTCTTTTTTCAATGGTTATTTCTAAATCAAATAAGCTTTGAAACAAAGCAGAAGTCAAAATATAAACTTGATTTTAATTCTATTTTCATTTCAACTTAAAAATAAAATATTTTGGAAATATTTTTAATTTTTTAGAGAGAATCCAGGAACCAATTAAAACTTTATAGCACATGTGCTATAATTTACAGCTAATTTAACTTTATAGCACGATGATTACTTTATAGCATGTTCAATATGAATTCACAATGAAGTGAGGAAGAATGATTAAGTACACAATGGTTTCACAAAAGTTTAAAACCCCTTATGATCAACTGATTTTTACCTATAATTGTGTTTAACAAATATTATTGTTTTGAAAGGTACTTTTCACTATTTGGGTTATTTGAGGGTAAACTAAATACCCTATTATCTATACATTGGTATTAGGCTTACTTTTCAAAGACAACTGTGTCCTGAGAAAAAGCTGATCTGTCATTAAGAATTCCATTCCAAAGGTATGATACCTAGGCATAAACACTATTTGATGCTTTTTTTCATGGTCTTGGATTTTTAAAAATTTTCAAATATTAAAATAAACTGTAGTATCTAATAGTTAATTAGAGATATCTTTAATTTTTTAAAAATTATTTTAAAATTTTCAAAATACAACTTATTTTTAACATTTGACGGTTAGATACGTTTTCACTACTTCCTCAGTGATTATTTAAGAGTTGGAACCGATTTTTCTGGGAGAGAAAGTCATCTTTGATTAAACATGTTAATTTGTTAAATCACGTTTTAACACAAAAAAACGTTAATTTCTTGCTAATTATAAAAGCATGGTTTTTACATTTCATTATACAATAACTGACACATTGTGTCATTGAAATATGATAATTTTAGATTTTATGTATATGCAAAGGTATCATACCTTTCCGCTGGAATTCTAAATGATATAACGGCTTTTACTCCGGTCACAGATATCTTTGAAACGTAGGACTAATACCATTAAATAGCTAAAAGGCTTAATAGTTTACCATTAAATTACCCAAATAAGTGAACGGTCCCTTTTAAGAGGCTTGAAAACCTTGCTTATAGAGGACTTCAGGAGCAATGTAATTCGGAGTCCCGCACATGCTCAGCTGGTTGTTCTGTCTAGTTGTTTCAGTTTTCAGAAATTTATTTAGAAATCATTTTATCTTTTTAAGAAATAACACTCCCCAATTTCTTTTCAGGGTAACTAGAGTATAATAAATTCACAATAAAATTAAAATTTAAATTTAAAAATAAAATATGAACTGTTGTCTTCAGGTTTTAGAAATTTATTTAAAATATGTTAATCTTATGAAGAAATAACACTCCCCAATTTCTTTTTAGGGGGTTGTTACATTGATACATTAATACACATGACCAATTATATCCATGCATTACATATGAGATCCATGTACAAAATTGATAGGGGGGCGGGGGGGGGGGGATTAGGTCCAAAAATCGTTTTCTATAAAATTACCAAATAATACTACCCAATTTCTATTTTTGGGGGGTTGATACATTTTCGTAGGGTTTAATCTAGTAAATAGACAATTATAAATTCACCATAAAATTTTTCAAAATAAAATATGAACTGTTAACTTCAGGTTTTAAAAATTCATTAAAAAATAGCTTCATCGATTTGAGAAAAAACTCCCCAGTTTCTTTCATGAGGTTGATAATTTCTGTAGATTTTCATTTAGAAAATATCATAATTTTTTCTTCTGAACTGAACACCTAAACTTTGTTGCCAGACCAAAATCTCCAATTTTCAGCGTCATATCTCTGTGGAGAAACATATTTCCCAGCTTAAGATCTCTGTGCAAGATTTGGTGCAAGTGAAGGTATCTAAAAGAAATAGTTGAATATTAAAGGGACTGTCAACGGAATAGTTAAATATTAAAGGGACAGAAGTTAAAAACTCCCATAAAATTTGTATTTGGATAACAATGAAGAAGATTTCGTAGCTTTTCATCATCATGAAATAAATTCTTTCAAATTCCTTAATTGAGATAGTATTAATAACCCTTTAAATTCCTACCTAGTTCCTTCCATAATCTGCTTGAGATAGTATTAATAACAGTCCCTTTGTATTCCTACCTAGTTTCTTACAATCTGCTTGAGATAGTATCAATTACAGTCCCTTTATATTCCTACCTAGTTCCTTATAATCTGATTGAGAGAGTATAAAATTCAGTAACTTTATATTCCTACCTAGTCCCTTATAATCTGCTTGAGATAGTATCAAAAACAGTAACTTTATATTCCTACCTAGTTCCTTATAATCTGCTTGAGATAGTATCAAAAACAGTAACTTTATATTCCTACCTAGTTCCTTATAATCTGCTTGAGATAGTATCAAAAACAGTAACTTTATATTCCTAACTAGTTCCTTACAATCTGCTTGAAAACAGTAACTTTATATTCCTACCTGGTTCCTTCCATAATCTGTTTAAGATAGTATCTAGCTTCAGGTTCAGTGATGGTTTCCCTTTGAACACATTATTCTTGTGCCCGCTTTTAAATTTAGATGCTAAATGCGAACAAAAATAAGCTGTTCATACCATGTTTGCATAGTGCTTGGCAGTGGCATCCCTCTAAACAAGTTATGACTATCTTAAAACGGCTCAAAAAGGACCCGGAACAAACGTTGAATTGTCAACATTGTAAAACCTTTAACTAATTAAGGATCAGACTGCAGGAACCAGAACAATTTAAATTTACCAATTTTATTGTAATGTTCCAAGCTTTTATGAAAAAACTCAAAATGGTCCTGCAAATGAATATTGTTGCAGAACAATGGGAGATTAAGGAGAAAAAGTCTAAACTTCAACTCTTCCCATCTCTAGAAAGGTATAGAAAATCATAATTGGAGATCAAGACACAAGTCAAGTTCAATATATTTAGAAGGTGAATACAGTTAAAGAAGATATATGGAGGAGTGTTTATTTGATAAAACCAATCTTGAGGTAAAAGATTAATTAACTATTATATATGTTGGCCCATATCTAACTGTAAATTTCTGTAGACCTGATATAAGAGTAAACCAACCTGCAGATCCAAGATTTATTAACGTGGATACTGAGAGACAAGAACCAAACCTATAGTCCAAGATATGTGAAACTTAGAAGATTGTGATAAGGCTCACCCCTGATCCCAACTAGGTAGGATAAAAATTTAAAGGTTGCTCTAAAGTAGAGTACAAAACTGAAAGTTTATCACTTTAGAACCTGTACCAGAGCGGAACCTGTCCTGAAAGTAACCTTAGAACCAGAGCCCCAGTGTTAACTCTACCTGGAGCTGAACCTGAGATTATCCAACCCTGATTTATACCTGAAAATAAACCTTATCCGGAGTAGGATTTGGACCTATTGTTGGAGTAGAACCTGAACCTGGAGTTAGCTTAAAGCTATACCTGGAGCTAAACCACTTAAAACTAATCCAAGATCTAAACCAACATCAGATCTTAATAAGGTTAGAAGGAGTCCAATTTACTAAAAAGAAATTTTTGATAGAGTTTAAAGATTACTAAAGAGAAACTGTTTAGGATTAATTCTGTACGAAACTCCTAAGATGTAAAGATAACCCTGAGCAAAGCAATCCTGAAATCTTCAAGCTATTCAAAACCATCGGAGAATAATTTGGCAAGAATAAGCAAGATCTAAGAAGAGCATTAAAACACCTCAAAGATCGCATCAGAGTAAGTTTTAGAAATATAAAAGCTTGGAACAAAATTTTAATTTATTTTTATTAAAAACTAATTTTTGTATTTTTAGTTTTTCACCGTGTTGAGAGATGAAAATAAACTCTAAACCTACATCTTCTTTCAAAACGAGTGCATAAAAACGATCTTGTGTGAACTGTGTCCTAAATATTGTAATGAAGCTTAAAAATAAACTCGGCCTATTTTACGTTTCACAATTGCAATGTTTTAAGTTCATTGGATTATTTAAACCGTGTTCTAACAGTCATGGTCCTATGAGTCCCAATATACATGCATTTTATCTACCCCAAAAAATCAATCGTTTTAATCTTTTTTAACTCAAATCAGGCGTTTAGGGACATCCTACTTTTCAACCCAAGACTATAAGTAAATATACTACAGCAAAATGATTAATTTTTCCATTTGCTACTAGATAAATTATCATATTTGGGTATTAAAAAGAAATATGGAATAAGTTCCTATTTAATAAATGTATAAGATACAAAGAATAATTTTCCTGTTTTTGAGAACTTGAACTAAAGTTCTGTTGGTGCATATCTCCATCAGTATATGAATATAGTTGCAGTCTTCAAAATACTTCAAACATATTCAAATAAATTTTTGCCAAATGAAAAAAATTCAATAATATTAGATCATATTAATTAAAAAAAACTAGCTTCCAAGGCCACCTCTGCGCTGTGTTGAAAATAATTCTAGTTCCTAATCCTAAAACTGCATGCATTTTTCTCATTGATTAAAGGGAGTGACTTGCTGAAGTGCAATATTTTAGAGAAAAACTTAAGGATTAATTTGATACCAATGAGATATTTTACGGTGTACAATTTTAAAATAATTTTCTGTCAGCAGAAGACTGTTTTTTTTTACATTTCTAAAATAAGATGGACAAAACATGTAACAAATACTATACTGCGTTACACACTAGTTGCATGTATACAAACAGGTTGAGAAAAATAATTAAAAATTGAAAATAAGTTACTAAACTTCTTTAAAAATCTAGGAGAGGTTTGGGCAAATTCTTTCAGCTAGGGTAGCTTGTTGGAGGTTTACTTTACTTTAATTGAGATGAATACTTTTAGAATAAATCTGCGAATAAAATTACAGAAACAGCTAAGGTAATGATGATATTGAAATAAGGGTAGCGTCCCAAACTGAGTCACTCACAATGAATTATAAGAAGAGAGAGATTAGTATACATTTTAGGGTTACTTTAGGTTAAGACACTTTCTGGGCCGGGGCAGGCTAGGGAAACAGGCTAGGGGGCCGAGCGCCACGGCTAAAACTGGCTTTCTCTCCGTCTTATAATTCATTGCGGCATTCGCGAGTAACGCAGATTGCTCGCTGCCTGAAATAAGCGATTCTGCGGTTCTACCATAGTTTTCATCGATAATTTCTTTATAAGAAATAGGTTTTTAAGCAGAAATTTAGTTTATAAAATAATTATTTTAATAAATCAAAAAAAAAATTGGCATAAATTGCTTTGAATTTTAACGAAAATGACAGTCATTCTGCGCACAAAAAATGGGGACCGAGGTCGCAGCTTTTGTGAAGAGTATTGTTAATCTTGAACCCTAGCTCTCGATATCCAATGTGGCCAGTTTCCAATTTGAGGATAAATGCTTGATTCCTGCAAGGTATGACCACAATAGGATATCGAAGAAAAATTAAACCAATTCTAGGGTCTGTATAAGATCTAGATCATTGCTTGATTCTGAGATTCCCAACAGCCGCTTATTGAATTCAAACAAACCAACAAACAAGATAAGTTCTGTCTCAGTTTTTTATCAATCCAAAAGATTCTAAAAACTCCAATTCCAACAAAAAATTTAAACATATTATTTTTATCCCTTGTGGAACTGAACAATATTCACGTGATCCAGACGTCTGAATAAAAGTTAATAATTATAATTTGAATTCGAATTAATATTAATATTAGGAATTTTTTATTGTTAGATCATGGTGCGTCTCACCATGGACCATATGCAAAGCTCTAGATTGGAATATTCAGGAATATCAGAATATCAGAATTTTATCTAATAAAATCCCTGTCAAAATTGTTTTGGACTAAGTAAAGGAATTTGCATACAGAAAACACAAGGTTCTTTGAGTTGAAGGTTGGAGATAATCCAATATTATTTGGAACGCTCTGTAGCAAAAATAAATGATGTTAATATAAATAGCAATAACAATCATATCAAAGCCGGGAACTCTTGTATTGTGGTTATCAAGATCTTGTTCCCTAAAGTGATAACTGATTTGAAGATAATGCATTAACCCTCAAATCAAAAGTGTCCACAGTGGATATTGAGATCAATCAATCGGGATTTTGGATTCACCGACAAAGGGTCAAACGACCGAGGGTCAAACGACAAAGGGTCAAACGACACAGGGTCAAACGACACAGGGTCAAACGACACTGGGTCAAACGACAAAGGGTCAAAAGTGCGACAAAGGGTCAAAAGACAAAAGGTCAAAATGATAAAAATATTTTTTGATTTGAATCATAGGAAACTCGCAATTTTAATCACAAAAATCCGCCAAACTTTTTAGAAGATTTAAAACTTTAGTCTGATTCTGGCTTTCATAATGGTCGGGTTGGCAATATTTGACCATGTTGCCGCAGCGCTCGGCCCCCTAGCCTGTCCTGGCCGCAGCGCTCGGCCCGGAAAGTGTCTTAACCTAACCTAACCCTAAATAATAAATAAATAAATGAATATAATTGACCATGTGGCCATAGCGCTCGGCCCCCTAACCTGTCCTAGCCGCTGCGCTCGGGCCAGAAAGTGTCTTAACTAACCTAACCCGTGGCCGCAGCGCTCGGCTCCCCAGCCTGTTCTAGGCGCAGCGCTCGGCCCAGAATGTACCTAACCTAACCTTAAATAATAATAAATTATACTAACCGTCAAAATTAAAAAAAATTTGCCCTTTTGTCGCATTTTTTGACTCTTTGTCGTTTGACCCTGTGTCGTTTGACCCTTTGTCGCGTTTTTGACCCCTTGACGTTTGACCCTGGGTCGTTTGACCCTGTGTCGTTTGACCCTTTGTCGGTGAATCTTATTTTGAGTATCCACCACAAAAGTTCCCAGCTCAAATTAGACTCTGCTCTCCTTCCCCAACTCAAGCATGCATCAGTATTTCTCAAATAATCTCTTTATGTCCCACTTAATATAAATAGCAATAACAATCATATCAAAGCCGGGAACTCTTGTATTGTAGTTTTCAAGATCTTGTTCCCTAAAGTGATAACTGATTTGAAGATAATGCATTAACCCTCAAATCAAAAGTGTCCACAGTGGATATTGAGATCAAGCAATCGGGATTTTGAGTATCCACCACAAAAGTTCCCAGCTCAAATTAGACTCTGCTCTCCTTCCCCAACTCAAGCATGCATCAGTATTTCTCAAATAATCTCTTTATGTCCCACTTTTCAAGTTCAGATATGAGCAAAGTTGTAATGCAAGGAAACCAGTTCTCTCTGGGCGGAATTTGTAAACAAGAATAGATGCATCAGTGTTCGTTTAGTGTCCGAGGAGGTTAAAAGCATTAAATTTTCATAATTTTGATAATTCACATAATAGTTTCCCATGACCAGAATATTTCATTGATTTTTTATGTGAAAGATGTATCCCATGTCAGGCTTCGACATCCGTCTTGTGTTTACATTACCGCCCAGAGATAGTACACTGCAGTACAAAAGATGCGTACACCTCTTAAATAACTTTCCTTGCATTGCAACCTTGGATATGAGTGTATTTCTTACATGTGGATGTCAATCTCGTTTTGAACCTTTTTCTCCGCGGACGCTTTTCTTTTAAAGAACTCCTTACTAATAATCTTGTCCGCAAATACTGATCCAGATTTCATCTCAGTTACCATGTACACCTAATCATAGCACTTTTAGATTGATACTAGAATATTTCTATTAAATATATTTCTATTAAAATTGCCAAGAAGAGCAGATGGATTAAAAAGTATCATATCAAAGAGTGTGACCAACAAACAAAAGATGAAAAAAATTAAATGATCTGATAAAAAATCTGTTCAAATTATTCTTTTCGATGATAATATTTTAATTGAAGAAAGGTGTATAATCATGAATAAGATAAATAAATGGATAAATGACATGATATGGGGGTAAAAAATTACCTTAGCAAACCCTCCAGTTCCCAACAAACTGTTTTTCTTGTATTCAGTTTTCGATCCACTACAAATACAAAGATATAAGGCTTCATCACCCTGATTTTATCAAAATTATAAACTTTAAATTTTACGTTAAAAGCTGACATATTTTTTGTTCATTCACGATCTAAAATATCGAAATTTTTCTGTGAGCATTGATGGATTTCCAAGGAAATTTAAAATCGACAATTTAGCTAGACAATATTTTCAATTACAACCAGATATGAACCTTTCATGGATTGGGGGATCATCTGAGGTAGCACAGACTTAGCTAGATAAGTAAATGATCAATAATAAGATCTTGAACAAGATCATGATCTAGATACTTACCAAGGTAAATGATCAATATTAAGGTCATGAACAAGGTACATCTAAATACTTACCAAGGTAAATGATCAATTATAAGATCATGAAAAAGACACATCTAAACACTTACCAAGGTAAATGATCAATTATAAGATCAGGAACAAGATCATATTCCTCCTCGCGGAGTCCCTCAGACTGAAAAGTAAATAAATAAAGCTACACACCTCGTCTTTAATTGTGCAATTGATAAAATAAAGCTACACACCTCTTCTTTAATTGTGCAATTGATAAAATAAAGCTACACACCTCTTCTTTAATTGTGCAATTGATAAAATAAAGCTACACACCTCTTCTTTAATTGTGCAATTGGTAAAATAAAGCTACACACCTCTTCTTAAATTGTGCAATTGATAAAATAAAGCTCCACACCTCTTCTTCAATTGTGCAATTGATAAAATAAAGCTTCACACCTCTTCTTAAATTGTACAATTGATAAAATAAAGCTTCACACCTCTTCTTAAATTTTGATAAAATAAAGCTTTAAAACGTAATAAAATGTTTTAGTTTGTCACAAAAAATTCCATTGAGCATAGAAACTAAAATGCTGACCTGTTTGGTTTTGGTTGGTTGTGTGACATTGTTATTTCTCCTGTTCCATCAATATGATCATTTTAAGAATGTTCCATCAATATGATCATTTTAAGAATGTTCCATCAAAATGATCATTTTAAGAATGTTTCATCAATATGATAATTTTAAGAATGTTCCATCAATATGATCATTTTAAGAATGTTCCGTCGAGTGTGTATCCGAACCTCCCAGAGGAAGGGTGTCAGCAGAGCTTTCTAAGCCTGTTAAGAGAAAGGGCGCTATGTGCGTTGTACTTGTATAGAAGTCTAGATAGCAAGGACAATTCTCTTCTCTTCTCTCTCCACAACTGAGTAGAAAGCGTGACTAATCCCGAACAAGATAAAGTAATAAAGATGAATACAGAAGCAATACAGAAACTCAAAACATCAGGGATGAAGTACATGCTGATACAGGTTTTAAGGGGGAACAGAGCCTTCAATAGACTTTAAATCAAATACCATAAACTGGTTTTTCACCCTCCTCACAATGGAAACTGGATTACTCATGGCAGACCTCTGACAATGATAGGCAAAAGACACACTCCCCGTGTTTTAAAGCGATGGGACAGCATGCTTAGCGGGTTATTTTTTCNGATCATTTTAAGAATGTTCCATCAATATGATCATTTTAAGAATGTTCCATCAATATAATCATTTTAACAATGTTCCTTCAATATGATAATTTTAACAATGTTCCATCAATATGATCATTTTAAGAATGTTCCATCAATATGATCATATTAAGACTGTTCCATCAATATGATCATTTTAAGAATGTTCCATCAATATGATCATTTTAATAATGTTCCACCAATATTATCATTATAAGAATGTCCCATCAATAGGATCATTTAAAGAATGTTCCATCAATATGATCATTTTAAGACTGTTCCATCAATATGATCATTTTAAAAATTACTTCAATTGTAATGCCCAAGACTACTTATTTATCTAATGCTAAATGCATGAACTCAGGAGAAGGGATATGTGCGGTTTAAAATCTTCTGTGACGTATTAGGACAGCTTTAGAACTTGTCTTAATGTAAATTAACAATATTTAGAAAGAGTACTTAGGCCCAGCCCGGTAATTTCTGATTAGAAGTGCTGTGCAACCCCCCTCCCCCTCTTCTAAAGCAGATAAACATACCGTGACTATCTAGCTCTATCTTTACCTAAATTAACCGAGGGAGGGAACCTCCGGACACCATGAGCCTCTGCTTGGTCTGCCTTGCAAATCTGGAAGGCTCGTGTCTGCATAGCAGAGGCTCATGGCGTCCTGGGGTTCCCTCCCTCTCTAACCTAGAGTAGAGCAATCATGAGACGTAAATCTTTCCAAGATGACATTTTTACAGATCGAAAACGTCGTTCACTCTGTTACGGAATGTAAAACCCATAAAGACCCGTAACGAGAATCATTAATCACACATCTGAGTAGTAGGAAGACGACTTTTAGATTCAAGTTTTGATACTTAATAGTCCAATTAACAGGAAACCAATCAATTGTGCAATCATCACAGAACCACATCAATCAATAAGTTCATGCTAGTGGTAAAACAATGTGCATTTTGGCATTATCATTACACATTATTGCTTAATTGTCGTCTTCCTAATCCATAATGTAATGGGTCTCCCTGTAATACTTTTATACCGATCGAGGTGAATTAAATTATAATGAATGAACATAGTTTCCTGAGTGGAACCAGACTCGGCTCATCCTTTCTGAGAAAAAAAATTGAGTTATAAAAAATAGTTTTTAGGGGGCATCCTCCCCTTCCCCCCCCCCCCTAACAAAAAAAGAAACAAAGATTAGTGCATAGGATCAGAATCCAGTATCCACATCAGTTGAGCCAAAAAAAAATGCGAATCCCCATGATTTAATTTGATTTGATCGAACCCAAAAATATCACCTAAAAGTTTTTAAAATGATGAGAAAAATTGAACAAAAAAATTGTTTCACAAGTTTTCGACGGGAAAAAAGTGACACTGCAAGAAACATCCCAGGAAACATTTTTACCGACTTTATGTGCCGATGGCGAAGTTGGCGGGTAAATAATTCTGGACTTTATATGTTCGCCATCGGTTCATCGGAGACTAAATGTTTACAGGGATTAAGAAATAAACAAATTTAAGAGACAAAAAAATACTTTTGAAATAAAATAACATTAAGATTTAATATATCAGTTTTAGGGATAAATTTTAAAAGAATATTAAATACCTTGCTGATGAAGAGTGTATAGCATAAAAATTCATTTATCTGCACTTTTACTTATATGAAACAAAAAAAAGAGACATTTAAAACATAAGAAAAAAATAAAATCGGGAAAAATTCACAAGATTATGTTTAACAAATAAAATGAAATAAAAGAAAAATATATATCGCCAAAAATAAATTTGACCTTAAAATCACAAACTAAAGATATCTAACAGAAGTTCAATAACAATTTAGAATGTTATTAATGAGTACAAAACACAGTGCACAAAAAAAATCTAAAATAGTTTGAACTTAAGTTTGTTTTAGAACCTATTGCAGCTTTTAAGCAACAAAAAAAGATCTAGCAAATATTAAAAGAATTTTAAATTTCAAAATACCATTCTGCTGAAGTTTTATTTTATTAAAATGTGAATATTTTTATCCCCAGAAAACAGAACCAACCCTTAGTTTCAATAAAATTAACAATAAGGTAATAAAATAAAAAGGAACGACTTAGGAAAAAATTTAATTAATTAATGTTTAAGTGTCGCTGGAAAAATAAATCAGAAAAAGCCAATTACAAATGCACTCGCTGTGTGCTGAACAAATTAAATATTAAAATCTGAACTTATTGTGAGAAATAAAAAGTAGTTACATAAATTGACGATACAAGAAAATCACTTTACTCATAAAACGCTTCAATTAGTAAAAAATGGTAGTAAAAAAAACTGCAACATAAATTTTTTAAAGAATTGTGATTTTTTTAGATTATTACGTAAGCTTTTGTAACTTTAATGTTGGAGGTGGAGGGTTTAAAAACAATTCTTTATTTAATAGTCTTTAAAAGTCTAATGGTACTTTATAATTTAAATAATTTAAATATTTTTTTCTTAAAATATTTCCATTTATGAAAACATATTACAAATCTATTGTTTTTCAATAAGAAAGGCGTTTTATGTGATGGTGTTAACTGAATAAAGTTTTATGTGGTAGCGTTTACTACGCAAACCAATAAATCCACGTGATGTAGTTGATTTATGAGGAAGTAGACGGAAGATTCAAGTGTTTACAAACATAACAACATTTAGATACAATATTCAAAAAACATTAACAAAACAAAATATCCAATAATATACTTTATGTTAAGGTACAAAAATATAAAAAATAAATACATTTTTGATTAGTTAGGTAAATATTAGCTTTCTAAGATCTGATATCAATGTGCTGAAGAAAATTAACCATCAAATACATTTATGTGGTCAAAACTTTTGTGTGAGTTATCCTAACTTAACCAGAGCCGGAAACTTTTGAATGGTGGAAATCAGGATGAATGCTTGATCCTCTCTTTTTCTTAATATCGAGACTAACCTAATCTTGTGCTTGTATCCTGAAAAGTGTATAAAATTCAACCATTAAAAGTCGCATATATAAAGCCAATAAATTTGAAATTTTGCGCGCCATTTAAGATTATATAAAGAAACGGGAAAACCGGTTTTTGATTTTTCTCTACTATATCCAAGAAAGAACGGTTTAAGAAGAAAATCAAAAGTGTGCCCATTGGATTCTTAGATTAAGTAATCGGGATTAAGGATATCTCATTCTCAAGTGTTCAGCTCTGAAGATCCAGATCCGATCCGGATCCAACATTGATCCAACATTGATCCAACAATGATCCGGCTAAATTTCCAGCTCAAATACTGCTCTGAGAGCAAAAGCAAAGATCAGTTGACCTAATTCTGTGGGAGCACACACTTCTCCGCTTCTGCCGGAGGTTTCTGCAGTGTTTTCGAGTGCATAGGAATAAAATAATCGTTTGAATTTAAGCGTTTTATTCGACAACACAGGCTTTCAAGTTGGATTTGAAATAGTGAATCAGCCAAATATTAAGTAGAAAGGACTAAAAGACAAATAAACCCGAAAGATTTTTACCGAAAAAAGGAGTGACGTCACAAGTGTGCAGTGCGCTCACAAATTCGCTTCATTACCGGAGTGTAGTGTAAATTATGAAATAAAACGCTAACGAATAAAATTTAAAAAAAAGTGACGATCTTATATGGTGCAAGGCAACCATTGCGTCTCATCAGTGCCAAGTGGCATTCGATAAAGTACAAACTTATCTATTATTATTAACAGAGGCATGTGAAATAAGTTTTTAAGAGATTGGAACAGGAGCGAACGAAGCCAATAATAAAATTGGAAAGCTTCAAACCGTGGTTCAGGTCCCAACATCCCTCATCAAGCATCAACAAGAGAGGATCACCAAACACGGCAACTTTAGCTGTCATCTATCAACAAAGTATTGACAATTCAGCAAGATTGAAAGGTATGTGGCTAACCGACCTCTACAAGGACGCGAGTTTGAGGACATTCCTTGGTACGATACCAACACCAGAGATTGCATGGAAGGGTCGGAGAGAGAGACCTAGCGCTGCAGCAACAGATGCTATCAGAAAACAACTTGTAAGAAAACGGTTGATTTATTCTGTAAGACTGCAATAAGATAAGGATAACTGATTAATTCAGGGATTAAAAACAAACAAGTTTTGACCACACTGCACACTAGAAATCTTAAATTTCAGCCTAAATTTAAAGGAAACTTTTCATAAGTTTGGATTATTATTAAATGTTATAAATGAAATGGAACTAAAATATTTGTAAGATATGAACTTTAATGCATAATAAGGAATTGAGTACTCGCTCTCATACTAATATTTTTAAAATTCTCATATCTTTGTAACCAGAAGTCGTTATTAGAATTAAGAGTATAAAATGAGTGGGCTGTTCAATTCCTTAATACATTGTAGTTTATATTACAAAATGTAAGTGTATTTATACAAAATGTAAATGAATCCATAATTTCAGTCATAACAATATGTTTAACTCGTGCCACGGATTGTGCCGGCCACAAACTGTACGATGACATAAACTGTACAATGCACAGGGTTGGTTAACTAAATGTGAACTTTGGTTTTCCTTGTAAATTTTTACGTAAAAAGATTTGTACAAAAATATTAAGAGCCTAAGCCACTGCTATAAAAGTTAGTTGAAACAAAGTTTGGTGACATTTAAGAATCTTGAATTCTGAATTATTAGGTTGTTATCCTTTGCCAAGAGATTAGAACCAAGAATAGGAAATATTAGACATGGTTTGTTTACAATATAACTTTGTTCTAGATCTGTCCAAATACGTTACAATATAACTTTGTTCTAGATCTGTCCAAATATGTTACAATATAACTTTGTTTTAAATCTGTCCAAATACATTACAATATAACTTTGTTTTAAATCTGTCCAAATATGTTACAATATAAATTAGTTTTGGTTCTGTTCAAATATGTTACAGTATAACTTTGTTTTAGATCTGTCCAAATATGTTACAGTATAACTTTGTTCTAGATCTGTCTAAATACATTACAATAAAGCTTTGTTCTAGATCTGTCCAAATACGTTTCAATATAACTTTGTTCTAGATCTGTCCAAATATGTTACAATATAACTTTGTTTTAAATCTGTCCAAAAACGTTACAACATAACTTTGTTTTAAATCTGTCCAAATACGTTACAATATAACTATGTTCTAGATCTGTCCAAATACGTTACAATATAACTTTGTTCTAGACAAAAAAATAGAATATATATTAGAGGGGAATTTACTAGAAAAAAAGTGTATAACGGTCATTTTGTTGTACTGTTTCCATACTGCAGGTGTACTTCACATATTTGTGCTATATAACCTTTTAGGCCCTGGAGTATCATTTTATAGAAAAGTTTTCTTGAAAATTATTTGATTTCTCTATATCAAATCTCTGATAGCCTGTCATGCACACGTGTCATTTTATAGAGTTTATTTAACACCTTTAAAAAATTCGAATTTGAAATGGATAGTCTAGGGAACATACTGTATTAATGTACTCTGCTGCATATAATTTGTGAACATTTACATGATTTGTACACATTGAACTCCCTTTCAGGCTGAAAGGGATGAAAAAATTCATACCGAGAGATTGCCTAAATTCCCCTCTAATATATATTCTATTCTCTATGGTTCTAGATCTGTCCAAATACGTTAGTATAACTATGTTTTAGATCTGTCCAAATACGTTAGTATAACTATGTTCTAGATCTGTCCAAATACGTTAGTATAACTATGTTCTAGATCTCTTCCAAATACGTTAGTATAACTATGTTCTAGATCTGTCCAAATACGTTAGTATAAATATGTTCTAAATATGTCCGAATACTTCACAAAAACTTTCCTTTTCTTCTATACCACCTAACTCTTCACTAGGTGTTTGGTATATAAAAAAGAGACTAAAGACATAATTTCAAATGATCCTTAATATTTGAGTGGTATGTCCGTGCCTGTCAATTATACTCTGACAAAGGATTAAAGGGAACCTTTGTAAATCATCCCAGTCCTTTTAACCCCTAATTTATAAACTGACAAACAATAACAAGCTGACAATACAGAGTTTAAAACTGATCCCAAACCTAGCCGGGGAGAATGAAACCAGTTTCTCGGATTCAGGATTAAAACTGGTTCCTTGAGTTCCGAAGATGAATTGAGTAAAGGGACCGGCGCCGTTTTCATTGACCCCTGACACCTGGGCTTTGTACACTGTAGCTGGTTCAAGGCCGGTCAGTTTAAACTCAGCAGGCCAACTCAAACCTAGTAAAATATTATAGAACAATTTGAAAGGATTTGAAAAAACTTTGATTAAATAAACTTTTGAAATCCCCCACTGAAACAGAAAAATCTGCAAATTCAAAATATTTTCATTTTTTATATATACTTTGCTTGTCTGGTTGTCTGTCTGTCTGTTTATATCCAATAAAAGTCATAACGGCTGAACCGATCGGCCCAAATTTTGTGTAGTACCTCACATAAGTCCCCCGGGAAGGTTTAATGATGATTTAAAATTTAAAATTTTTACTCCCCAAAAAATTCAATTTGCATTAAATTTTGAAAATCCACAAATGTTCACAGTTGAAATAAGGGCGCTTCCCCCTAAAAGCTAAGTTTTTTATAATATAAGATAAAATAAGATCAAATTGTCAAGTAACAAATGAAATCCAAGTTTTAAAAGAGAAGAGACAGGGATGCGAAGTGCTATTATATGTAATAACAATACCTGTTTGAGAATCAGGTTTCAGTTCGATCTCCAGCATTTCACTACCATCCTCTTTCGAGGTTATTAATATATACTTGGATACTTGTACACCACTTGTTCCAACCCACTGGAGTAAATACTCATCATCAGACTCGGATATAGGAGCAGAGACGAATTCTATCGGTACAACCTAGATAAAATAAATTCTATTAAGATTGGAACATTTGAGATTGGGATGCTATTTGCTACTTAAATCAATTGGTAAGCTAGTAATGTTTGAAAAAATGTGACCAATTCCTTCTTTATCTTTATTTATTTGGATAAAAAATAACTCCTACCTTGTTTGAGACCACTATAGATTTAAAATCCGACCCCAGAGTGTTGGTTGCATTACAAGAATAATTCCCAAGGGAAGCCTCCTCCGGGTTCAGGTAGAGAGAGTATTTAGTCCCGATCCTGCTCATATTATACTGTAGAGAGGAGAGAGCGAACCCACCTCGGAACCAGGTTAGGCTCGGCTCCGGGTACCCAGGTACTGTGCAGGATAACTTTACTCCAAGTCCAGGACTGAAGTGTACGTAGTGATCGGAGCGGAGAATGTAGGGTTTATGTCGGACTCGGAAATGGACATTCGCCGAAGAACTCGTGACGAAGCCATTATCCGCCGTACACTGGTAAACACCAGCGGATTCCCAGGTTACATTCACAAGATTCAGATCTGGGCCGAATGAATTGATGAGAGCTCTAGGTTTGACGGATCCAGGTTTACTCCAAGATATCTCCGGAGTAGGTTCTCCGGCAGTAAGGATACAGGATAAGGTTGCGTTCTCTCCCTCGCTAGCATCAACTTCATCAACCATATTACGTATAGCAGGCCTAGATATAACAAGATCAATATTAACCTGTACGCAGTTACTTATCAATACAAATCAAATAATATCAAATTAGACATTTAGAAACGTCCTAGTTCCTCAAGTCCTTCTAGCTTCAAATGGATTGTGTTAGGCGTCCTTCTTTTCCTCCTTTGATCTAATTTTGATGATTTTAAGTTTACGATGAATGCAATGATTACTGCTAGATCCAATACGCGTATACCTAAGGAGAGAGTAAACGGTTTGCATATATTTTATTAGGACAGTTCAAAAACTTGCTTTTTTGTTAACCAAAACAAAGATAGTGAACAAGGCTTAGAAGGACCGAGTCTGAGCAGTTGCTATAAACTGAATGTTGTTAGTTTTTAATAAAGCTAGTTCTAGGACTGTCTTAATACATCACAATAGAACAAAAGCAGGAACTATTAAACCCTAATTGTGGTGGCTGGCGCCTTTAACACATAAAATAACCATCAAATATTGACTAAAACGCTTACCAATTAAAACACAATTTTTTTGTGGTACCTGACCCTGACATGATCCTACCTGGTTCTTATCTTGACACTGTGACTGATCTCCTGAGGATGAAAAGCTGAGATATGACAAGTATATTCTCCTCCATCCTCCAGTCTTGCGTCCTCCACCACCAGCCAGTTCCCTTCCTTCTCAGCCTCCAGGCTCGTCCTACCATTATCCTGAGGATAAAGGGATGGTAATTAAATGTTCGAGGCCAAAATAATACAATTTAGAGGTTAATAAAAATAAACTTCAGGACAAAATTTAAAATATTGAGACCAAAATAAAGAATCCAGACTAAAACCTGAATTTAGGGCCAAGATAAAGAATTCAAAGGTCAAGATCAAAGAATTTCAAGGCCAAAATAATAATCTATTGGTCAAGATAAGGAATTCAGAGGCTAATATTGTTTCTAGAGTATTCGGTTTAATTAAAATACTTTATATCACAGCAAATATTATATTTCTTATCAAAAGGTGACAAGTCAAGAGAATACACAGAAACCTCTTAAACCCAACTTATACACAAAATGTGTTTCAAACAGTCTTCCCCTTTACGAATAGCCGATACAAGCTAAGGATTCAAAATAAAACTATACATATAGATGCCATTTTAATTACAGTCCCCGCCCCTTAAGTAAAAGCTGTTTTTCTCTGCAATTCGGCATAGTCTTCATGCTTGGGCTTTAGGGGTTCCAGAATCCAAGTGTATTTTCCCTGATTACGAATTCGGAGTTGGTTTAACAATTCACGGATTTTCGTTTCATATTTTTGCGCAATTCTGTGTTTTTTTTTTGGTTTACCTGTGAGATGACCCTCTCTCCTACGCTGATAATAGTTTCTCCTTTCTTCCAGAGTAGAACAAACCCCTCTAGTCGGTCAACAAAACACGGAAGCCTATAATATACACCATTTATGTTTTAAGCCACAAATAAAGAGTTATTTAATTTAAATAATAGCAGTCAGACTAATTCCACAATCAGGACTTGCAAAATAACTAAACTACAGCGTAATATATCAAATCTGAGGATAGGTCCTCCGGATAACAGGGAAACAAATAGCGACTAGCATCGTGCATTTTTCTACAAAATATCCCTCCATCCCATAGCAAAGTTGTTGACCTAGATCAGTAAATTCAGTGTTTAGGAGAAGCTACTGAGTTTGTGAAGAAAATCGGGAAAATCATGACCATCTCTTTTCAAGTAGATTGATATTCTACTTAGATAAACTGCGAAAATCTTGGGATTTCCGAAGTGTGGCCCAACTTATTGGTGCTTAAACAATTTCATTCAGATTCAGATTAATTGTTTTATTATTGTTTTTATTATTGTTTTTATTATTGTTTTTATTATTGTTTTTATTATTGTTTTTATTATTGTTTTTATTATTGTTTTTATTTTTGTTTTTATTTTTGTTTTTATTTTTTTTTTATACTTTTAATTTCAGTCTTTTCCTGTCTCACTTTTTGTTCCTTTTATACTGTTTAATTTCAGTCTTTTATTTTTAATCTTTATTTTACCAGCTCTTTTTGCTCTTAATATTTGAGCTGTAGACTACTTTCTTTCGTTTAGCATTTAATATGAAGCCATAGTATTACATTTATTACTTTCAGTACGCTTAATGCGACTATTCTAATTAATATTTTTATTTTTCTTATTTTTTATTCTTATTTTCAAGTTTACTCACAGCTCTTTAGTTTCTATCCCCAGTTATTTCTTTCAACTTTTTATCAACATTTTTACCTCCCTTAAATAATTTTTTGGTTTGCTAATTGCCCTTTATTTCAGTATGGGTAGACCAAAGAAAGGCCCTCCACTAATTCGAAGTGATTACTTTACGGAAGAATCTGACCTCACAGTAGACGAACTACGCGCCATTTCTATTTCAACTTTGGCTGATATTCCTACCTTCCTTACCGCAGTTAACTGGAATGGTGGAGCTTACGCGGTCATCGCTCTTCGCCTCAGCCCGGATAATCAACGTGTCCTTTCCGGTACTTGTGCCCTGGTGGGTAACTTATTCACAGAAAAAGTTATAAACTGCAACCTTTTCTGGCAACCAGTTATAGCTACCAAACTGACCCTCAGCATCCCCTCACTCAACATCTTCAACTTCCCCGACGGGAAGCTGGTTTCAGATTACCTACCTTCCTCTGCTTTCCCACACGAGTTCAGCCATAACGATGCTGTTATCACAGAGGATGATTACCCCGCAACCGGAATCTCTTCCTTTGTTTTGAGAGCTTTTGTTTCTCCCAGCACCGACGCCTTTGTGAAGATCATTATTCTACTATACCCTTGCTCTGAGGAAACTCTTCTTTCCCTCTACCCACTCTACAAAGATCCTCGGTTCCCAGGACTTAAACTATGTAGTTTTGATTTCCCTCTTGGCCCTCCTTGCTCTGCTGGTCCTATCAGAAGACTCTGGGGGTTCCCTATTTTCCCAGCTATTATCCCTGGGTCCCCCTGGTCCGACTCGGGTACCCTGCCTTCCGGTGCTGCGCTACGCCACGCCCTGTCCTCAATACTTGGTTCAGCTGTAGCTCCCGAAGTGAAACTTAATCTACAAACCCTTAACCTGAGATGCCAAGAAATCCTTTCTAAAGGTGCTTTGGCCTTAAAGCTGAACCTACCTCCAGTCATCTGGCCTTCTTCTAACCCTGCTCCTGCTCTAGGTTGGTGTTGTTTTTTCTTTTCCTTTCTTCTTCTTTTCTTTTACTTTTTTCTTTTTTCTATGTTCTTTCTCGCTTTACCTTTCCGTACTTTCTCTCTATTCCTAGTTTTTGTGACTTAACTCTTATATGTGACTTCTTACGTCAGTCCTTCTGTCATTAACTCTTATTTTATTCGAAATGCTTTTATTTCTATTACTAGTTTTTGTGTGCCTTAGAGGTTTTATATGTCCCATAGTGGATTTATATGTCCCATAGAGAATTTTCTGTCCCACAGAGGACTTTTTTATCCCATAGAGGATCTATGTGTCCCTTAGAAGGATCATAGAGGACTTTTTATCCCATAGAGGATCTATGTGTCCCACAGAGGACCTTTTTATCCCTTAGAGGATCTATGTGTCCCATAGAGGATCTATGTGTCCCTTAGAAGGATCATAGAGAACTTTTTATCCCATAGAGGATCTATGTGTCCCACAGAGGACCTTTTTATCCCTTAGAGGATCTATGTGTCCCATAGTGGATCTTTGCGTCCCTTAGTGGACTTTTTATCCCATAGAGGATCAATATGTCCCATGTTGGATCTATGTGTCCCTGAGAGGACTTTTTTATCCTTTTCTAGAATTGTATATCCCTTAGTGGATTTTCGTGTCCCACTTAGGATTCTAGTATCCCTAGAGGAAGCTTGTGTCCCTTAATGGACTTGTGTTCCTTCTTCATTTATATATCACATTCCTTATTACTATTCACCATACTCTAGTACATTTACTTTATACAAACTTGTCGTTTTTACAGGAGCCTCCTTGTTTACTCCTACTGCTACTATCAGCTCAACTAAATACGGGCCTTCAGGGTTTTTTGATGAAACTTCTTTTCCTGGAATTGCTTTACCCCATGGTTGGAAAGCACTCCTTGCCAATACTGCAAACCACTCCCTTTGTACTAGAACTTGGTCTGTTTATAGAACCGCATCGAATCTGCTCCTCAAATGTTCCCAGGAACTTCAAATTTACATGTCCATTCCCCTGACACAGGATCATGTCCTAATTTTCACAGCTTATCTCCTAAATCGTGGACTAAAATCCTCTACTATTAGTTCTTATCTTGCTGGCCTGCGGCAACTTCACTTGTCCCAAGGGACTTCTATACCAAATATAAGATCCGACCTGGTGTCCCAAATACTCAAAGGGAAAACAAACTTAGATGCTTTGTCACCTGTTACTAAACCTAAGCGTCTTCCAGTCACCCCCTCTGTCCTAAGAATTATCAAAATAGAAATAAAGAAATGCCTAATTCCTAAATTAGACAAGCGCCTTTTTTGGTTAATTTCCACCTTAGCTTTTCATGGATCTTTTAGAATGGGCGAATTGTTATGCAAGAAATCCACTTCATTTGACCCACATGTTAACTTACTTGGCAAGGATATAAATTTGAAACACACTAAAATTAACAACTGTGACGTAAATGTTCTGTCCATCTCAGTTAAGTCTCCAAAGACGGGAAAACCTAACTCTATATCCATTGTTGATGTCTTTCCGACGAACAACGACTTGTGCCCAATTCAAGCATTCATCAAATGGTCCACTTGCTCCCCTATCATTATTGAATCCTTACCTGCTTTTCGTCTCAGCTCCGGGCTTCCCCTGACTAACAAAATGTTCAACGTCCATCTCAAAACTTGGCTTACAAAATATCTTAACTTCAATGTTGGCTACATATCAGGCCACTCCTTCAGGGCCGGCATACCTTCTGTCCTTGGCTCCCTCGGCTTTGAAGATCACGATATTAAACAAGTCGGCAGGTGGTCCAGTGCGGCCTTTCAAGTATATTTAAAACTACCCAGGACTAAACGGCTTGCTATGGCCCAGGCCATCGGTGGCCTTAATCTGTAATTACTCTCTTAGGTTTGATCTTAGCTTTCATTTTTGTTGTCTTACAGCTATGTTTGTTTTATATTTTAGTCAGACTATTTTCTTACTCTATTCATCTCTATGTTTTATATTTTCTATATTACCTTTCTAACTCTAAATTAATTTAGTGACTGAAGATGTCGCCACTGACGACAATGACTCGGACTCATCTAGTGATCTTTCGGCGATCGCACAAGATACTAACACCCTAGTAGGCAATCTCGTCAGCGAACTCGGCGATGCTGCACAAGATGCTGACACCTTGGCGATTACTCTTGCCAATGAGCTAGGTGAGCTACTCTAATCTAGTAGAGTTTATTTGATTTATTTAAATCATTTTAATTACACTAATTAACTATGTTTTACTAGGTTCTGCAGCTGCTCCTAACGGCAATATTAACGCCGACCTAAGTCAGCCAACATTTGTCAGCATCCCTGGCACATCTTCTACACATATTACTACGCTGGTTCCTGATACTCAACCCTTAACTGTGCAAAATATTCAACCTTCTATTGTCTCTAATGCAACTAAGAGCAAAAGAACAGGTATTTTTTCTTTTCTTCTATACTTCCCCTATATATTATTTCACAGTTATTATACATAATATGCAAACTGCCATTTTTTGTGGTATTTAAAAATTTTTGACAATTTTTCTATTCAATCATCACATTTTTTTTAGCCTTGCTAACTATACATGTTCACTAACAGCACTTTATACTTTATTACTTTATGCAGTTTTACTCACCATTGTTAATAATCTACATTATTCCTCCCCATACTATAATTCCTCTTCTTATCATAATCTTTTCCCCCTGTTCAGGTATGAACACGGACCCTTCTAAACGTCACAGAACCACAACCAATACCGCTACAAACCCTTCGCCATTTACAGTACCCAATAACAGCTCTTTCCAACCTTCACCCTTTGCTACTCAGAACCTTGTTAATAATGCTCCCTGCACCAACACTACCCAATCTTTCCCTCCTAAAGCTGACTCCGACAGATTCAAACCCAAGTTTACCCCAATGCCTCCAAGATCTACTTCTAATTTTAGCCTTCCCAAACAAAAAGCCAATGTTGTCCTTCACAATGGTGTTGCTATTTGTTTCAATTATAATAACGGTTCCTGCAGGAACCCAAGTTCCACAGTCGGCTGTAGAGACTCAAAAGCTGGCAAGGACTATGCTCATGTTTGCAACAAGTGGATCCAAGCCAAGAACTCTCACTGCTTTCAGAGGCATTCCAGATTCAGCAGCCACTAAGCAATTCATCCTTTCAGTTTACTTCGCTTGATATACAAGTTACTGGATATATATATGCAAATCTGTTTTGTTTGTTTTTTTCTACAAAACCAATTCTTGCTATGCTATACCTTTGTGCATCGCACCTTACTTAGTCTTTAGCATAACTTTTATATACTTTCAATAAATCTTTTCTTTACTAGCTTGTCTCCATATTTAGCTGGTTTTAACTTGGTCTTCCTTTTACATGTTCTCAATAAATCTTTTCTTTTCAGCTTTGTCTCATTATTTCGGTTTCTCACTTTATCAGGTTTACTAGATATTATCTTACACTAGTACCATTGTGAATTCTTGTTAGCCGTTACTTGCTTACTTATTAATTTCTTAGCTGATAATTAATTTCTTAGATGATAATTAATTTTATTTTTCATTTTCTTTATTTGTTAATATGATATTACTCCAATTAGTTATTCTTAAACTTCTTTAATTGGATTATTATTATTTTAGTTAGTTTACAATAGTAGTATCATTAAATTTTAATTTTTTATAAAAAATATTCAAGCATAACTGCCACTTGTTAGTTACCTATAGTCGAATTTATGACAGCTCTACAATATAACAATTCATACTAATCACTTGTTAGTTAACTACTTTATGACTAATAAGTGCTCTTTTTGACTGCAGAGCTGCCACGGTACCATTGTGAATCTTTCCTCTTCCCGTCTCATTACTTAGTATCACTTTACGACTAGTTAATTTATAAGGTTCAAATTTATAATACCTGATTAGGGAATATGGTGCTTATATTGTTTTTAGTTTTCTTACAGTTAATCTTATAGCTGTATCCACAAAGTCATTATTTTTCTGTTGTTGTTTTTCATACTAGGTTTCATATAAATAATATATACATCAACCTAGCATTTAAATTATTTGCATAGCTATTTTGTGAAATCATTCAAAAATTGTTGTTTCAAATTGTCGTCTTCTTTTATCCCCATGATACATACCATTTAACTAGTCGTTATTTTTAGGGTACATATCATTTTTCTTTAAAGCAATTTTAATAAAGCATCTATCCCATATAATATTTTTATTAATCTTTAGTATCATACAACAATTAACAAAACTTAATTATATGCATAGCTATTTTGTGTAGCCATTCAAAAATTGTTGTTGTCGTCTTCTTTTATTCCTTAGTTCTCATATCCAAAGGCAGTAATATACAGGGTGCCCCACGAAACATAACATCTAACGAGCTGTTATTTTCTTTTCGAAACAAATCTTTTCACTTTAAAGCAATATTAATCCCATATAATATTTTTATTGATCTTTAATATCATACAACTTAACAAATTATGGGACTAGACATTCCGGACTATTCACCATCGGTCAAGTTTAGTGGAGCACCCTGTATTGATCTCATAAATGCAATGTTGTCGTAATGAAATTACCATATATTAAAGACTTAGCGACTAAATATGTTGCTCTATCATAGTAAACAGATTTTAATTATGGGTTACTTCAACGCCTTAAACTAAAATAGGCGTACTTGGTCTTATTTTACCAAGCTAAATGTTGATAATCCTTTTTCATGGGTTTTCTTTGCACAGAAGACGACTTTTGTTCTCATTATTACTGTTCCGTTCCTCTTCTACGCTTAACGCGGCATTCTTTTAATAACGCGCTTTCAGCAGACAGAACATTTTACGATGATATATAAATCTATTCTCACACTTGTTTCAGCTTACTAACATGGCTTTTCACAACTCTTTT